CTAGCTGCCTGTCCCGACTTTGCACATATGGACTTTAAATTATATTATAGCAGTTTACACAGAGATAATATAGCATTATTTTTATAGTATAGGTTGCTAAACAAGCCTATGGGACGCCCTAAAATTGCAGTCCATGGACACCCGTTTTCAAAAGGTGCGTTGCCGGCCTTTCGAAGTATCATTTTTCTTTGAACAATTGAAGGTCGTATCTTCTAGGGAAGACCTCTCACCGGGAGTCGATTCCATAGTTCACAAAACTTTTAATGTAGAAAGTTACAAAAATACAAATCTCTCTTAACATACAAGCAGTCGCTTTATTGACATTATTTTATATATACGTTATTTTTTTCTTAATTTTTTTAAATTTAATATGTAAAATGGTACAATATTAACCCATGCTAACTACACCTAAAGGGTTGTTGCCTTGCGTAACAATTGGCATTGTGCTAATCCCCCCTGCAGACTTGGCTGACTCAGCGAGTTCAACGCCTCGCATTTACTTATTAAATAATATTTTATTTACTATACTTTTTATAATCGCGTCTCAGTCACGATTAATGTTAAACTTATGGGAAAAGCTATGACTTCTGAATGTCAAAATCCAATAAGTTTTTGATGTACGCAAGTCAGATATAGCTATATCGTATCTTGTCTTCTTCTTCTTCTCTCATCATATGACCCGTCCATCTCCACTTTTTTTTCGGCATGTGGTGTTAAATTTTGTTTTTATTTTAATATCGCTTTTTGAAGTGAAACTTCTTTAGGCGCACGAGGGTAAAGTTTTACGGAAACGTCACGAAGATGTGCAGCGGGTTTGTCGAACAAAAGGGAGAGAGCGATTGATACCGATTGAGAAAGACGAATTACCTTACAGAAATTCTATTTTTTAAATTAAATTTATAATTTGTATTAATTTTCGACACTTTTAATATTTTAATGACAATTAAATTCCTAACATATCTTCCTTTTTCCCTCCCTCTAAGTCTCGGAAATCTAAAGTTATAGATTTGTATAAATATGAACAAGACTTAAAAAATATTCCTGTTGTACTTTTTTCCATACTGTTTTGACCAGTCATGTACAGGTTTAACTACTCTATCCACTGAGCATAAAGTACTTTAAATTAACCTAATTTGTTTGTATTAAAAGCCGTCTGCTTAAGCAAATAACACGTGCAAACAAATCTAGACCCAATTTTAATAAAACAAAGTCTATTGTAGCTCGTAATTACTGTGGCGTGTGTAATGAGTTAGTCTCGAGAAATTTTTGCATATGTAGTGGTGTGTATATTACTCAGATCTTAGAGCGCGTTTCCACTATATCGTTCTGGCCTATACAAAAATGTTTCGATATCCTAACATTACTATTTAATATTATACTTATCCCTAGCAACACTCTGATTTTTGTTATCAATAAAAACAAGTTTTTATTTAAAAAAAAGGTTTTGACTTTATAAAAAAAGGTGTGTGCGCGATTCACACACGATAGAAGTGAAACTTCAAAGAGGAGAGACCGATATATATTTTTTTTCCTTTCATCTAGGTTTTTAAAACTCCGGGGGTCTACGGGGGTCAAAATTTATTTTTGGCCTAGGACGCACCGTTTCCGAGATATTTCAATCTAAAGCAAAAAATCGTCACTTGATAGTGGAAAGTGGAAACACGCACAAAACCAGAATAAACCAGTTTACGCTGTCCGCAGGTGCCACGTGCAGTCCGGCGTCAGTCGCTTGGTACTGTTAGAACATAAAGCACACATTTCATTCAAAAATTATAATTATTACGTTAATTGTTAAATTTTGTATTTGTTGATTGTTGTTATTGTTTGTTATTATTGTTATAATATTTGTTGAAGTGTTTAATTTGTGTGTAAGTGTTGCAACTTTATATTGTTAATTAAAAATGGCTCCAGTGTTAAAACATGGTCGAGGCAAGCCTTTGACTTCTCAAACTAAAGAAGTTTTGTACTGTTTGTACAAATATTTCGAAAATGAGTGTAATAACAACCCGAGCAGTATTATGACTCCCACTCAATTAGTTGCTAAATCAACGGGAATTTCAATAGCATCCGTCAGAAAGGTAGTATCAGAAAGCAAATGTCGACCTTCAGATCAGGAAGTAACATTTAAATCTCCTAAAAAGAAACCGAATCGTAAACCTACAATAGTAATCGATAACTTTGATCAGCAAGTTATCAGAAGAACAATTCATGACTTCCACATCACAAATAAAGAAATTCCCACTTTGAAAACTTTGCACGCAAAATTAAAAGAAGATATCGATTATAAAGGTTGTGTCAGCACGTTACGAAAACACGTCATGTCATTAGGTTTTAATTGGAAGCAAACAGAAGATAACCGGAAACTTCTTATGGAAAAACACGAAATTAGATACTTGCGAATTAATTATTTGATGAAAATTGCTGAATATCGTGAACAACGCCGACCAATTGTTTACACCGACGAAACATATATACATACATCACATACCCTCTCGAAATCTTGGTCAGATGGAAGCACTTCAGGTTTGAAGCAACATATATCGAAAGGCAACCGCTTAATCATTGTTCATGCCGGTGGTATGGATGGCTTTATACCAAATGCATTGCTTATGTTTAAAGCCAACCAAAAAAGTGGAGATTACCACGACAATATGAACTATGACAACTATTCAAGGTGGATTCAAACTCAATTAATACCCAACTTACAACCAAATAGTGTTGTTGTTGTTGACAACGCACCATATCATAACTCAATACAAAATCCTGCACCGAATAGTAATTCTAGAAAACAGCAAATGATTGACTGGCTGACATTGCGAAACATTGAGCATTCATCCACGTTGCTTAAGCCTCAATTATATGAACTGATTCTGCAAAACAAGGCGAGATTTGTAGAGTACAAGATAGACGAAATATTACGACAGCACGGTCATACTGTGCTGCGTTTACCACCATACCATCCGGAGTTTAATCCTATAGAAAATATATGGGGGATAGTGAAAACATATGTCGCAAAAAAGAATGTCGCAATGAATATGAAGGTTATAATGTCATTAGCTGAAGAAAAAATGAACGCCATAACTGTAGAGGAATGGAGAAAAGTTTGTCTGCATGCTATTGAGGAGGAAAACAAATATCAGGGTAGAGACGCAGCTTTAGACACAATATCAGAACGAATCATAATTAATTTAAATAATTCATCTGATGAAAGCGAGGATGGGGATGATTGTGATATGCCTGGGGTTGATGAATTATTAGAATAAAACATTTATGGCCGGAGAACACCTAATTCATACACGTCTTCACTGAAGTGAAAACCGGCATTCACTGCTTGTAATATTTGGAACTGGCTTATCTGCCTCATACAGTTCCATAGATTACAATGCAGTGGATACACATTTTCACGTCCGTATTAGTACGTAGTGCGTATGCGTAGACGTGTACGCATTTGGTGTGCTCCAGCCACAAACGTATATTACCTTTAAAAAAATAAAAACTAAAAATAAAATGTTGTTTTTTTTATTTGCTGACCATACACTACTACAAACGCAAAAATTTCTCCAAGCTAATTTACCTGTAATGAGTTAGTGTATATAGGTTAAGTGAAATTCGTGCGAGCAATTTTGTAATTTTGATAAAAAATTTAAGTACGCTTCTAATTGCTACTAAATAATGATTCTTTTTTAATACTTTTATTACATAGTTTGTATAGCTTTAGTTTTTAATAATCTAGGACGTCTAATGAAGTCATCGAAACAGTCATAAAGCGGCAGTAACCGCAGCTCATAGATACCCATTATAGTGCGTGCATTGTCGGCTTTTGAGGGAGTCTTTTTGAAACAATTGAAGGTCGTATCTCCGAGATAGGACCCGCACCGGGAGTCGATACCAGTTTCCTAGTTCGCAAATTCTGTCTCTTTACAAATATGCAGTTTCTTGATTGACGTTATTCATCATATAAACTATATTTTTTCTATATGTATTTAAAAAAAGATATATATCTAAAGAAATCTTCGGAGTAGCCATAAAATTTAGTAGTCGTAGTTCATGACACCCATTTTAGTTTAGGAATAAGATATTTTAAAGTAAAATCAATTTCTAATACAAGAACTGTCACGTCTGACCTTCTATATACATTTAGAAATCTATAAAGCCCTCAGATTGGTGTCTGTTTCATGAATCACTACGGTAGAAGTAATCAGCCTTCTTTGTCCCCGATTTTTGAGACATATCGATCTCACTATGTTTATCTTCACAATGAATTGTGGTTAAAAAAATCCTTCAGTGCACAGCCGGGTTCAAACTAATTCCACTACTTTTATTTCCTAGATAGACCTTATTCGAATAAAGGACAAAACAGGTTACGAATTGGCAAAGCTATGGTTGGTTTATGAAGAAGCCTCTGTAATGAAACTCGAATTGTAAAAATGTAGGACACTTTGAAAGTCAACACGCCCTTTGTTCCAACAGTCAGTTGAAATACTAGACGGGACTTTAGAATAAATATAATTGGAATTTTGGCTCAAAAGCTTGTCAAATTACTTTTTTATTTGTCTTTATAAATCAGTTATGTTATATTCAATGCGTTTTTAAATCGCTACAAGCTTTTGGTCTGGGTCTCAGATTTCCGTATGTTTCCTGATGATTTGTTTTTCTTCTTTCTTCTATCCACCTTTTTTCGGGAGCCCTCTTCTCTTTCTTCCCCTCTATCCTTTCGCTTTTAATTTGATGTATTTTCCATATTTTTAGTACGCTTCTTTCCATTGCTTTTCAAGGCACGTAACATAAGCCCTATGTAACATAATTTTTAATATGAAAAAAATATTCCCTTAAGAAACGATAGGTTTGAGGAAGAAAGCACTAGGAAATTGTTAACGAAAAAGTAAATTTTCAAAAAACTGTTATTCAAATTAGGTTTTTAATAAATTTTAGAATAACTTAGCAATCGAATTGCCCCCCTTGGGGCTTAGGCCCCACGTTGGGAAACACTGGTCTAAGGCATGCCTGACGATGTAGTGGTATGTAGTATTAAATGCGCACATAGACTTGTCTACTAACTACGACCTCAGGGAGAAGAGACGCACGCCACCACTAGAAAATTTTATGTTGGTCCAGTACAGTACTAGGGTAGGGTAGGTAAAAATAGGGAATAAAAAGATTAGGGTTTGCTACTTCGTTCACTGTACCTATAAATGTCCTACACTCGAGTGATATTATCGTACACTCGTAATGAATTATGGTCAAAACAACTCTGCTAATATCTCATTCATTACATTTTATCTACATTATTTTCGCTTATCGCGTGCATCGTGACCAAGGCTTATCTAAATCCACGTAGAAGGTATTATATTCTGTCCAAGGACGATAGGGTTGTTGGGTGACCTTGATTCGGAGTCGGCGTTCGTTGAAGTTTAATTGAACTAGACACGGCTCAAATTGCCACCACACCTTGTAAAAAATCTTAATGACAAAAATCGCGTAACTCCCCCAACCAATTGATTTCAATTTTTGAAGTGAAACTTCTTTAGGCGCATGAGTACATTTTTTACGGATGAAACGCAATAATAATAATATTAGCGTCACGAAGATGTGCAGCGTTTTTGTCGAAGAATAGGGAGAGAGCGATTGAGAGAGAGAGTGAGAAAGGGCGAACGTAGCATCACGCACGGTACCATGGAGCGAGAGGTATGAGAGAGCTATAGTGAGAAAGATTGAGAGAGAGAGAGTAAGGGAGATCGAGAAAAAATACACGCTATTGCTTGATGTATTCGTTTTACATATTAGAACTTTAGATGTCAATTCTGTCAATTGTCATAACGTTTTGTGCAGTAAACGCAGATTTTTTATATTTTAATGACAATTAAATTCATTTATTTCCGAACATATCTTCCTTTTTCCCTTCCTCTAAGTCTCGGAAATCTAAAGTTTTAGTTTTGTATAAATACTAGTGGACCCCACAGACGTTGTCCTGCATGATATTTAAAGCGATTAGGATATTAAGCAAAGTATGAAAGTACCGACTGCAGTGCCATCTGCCGGGCTGATTTGTGAATCTAAACCATTCCCAGATCCCCTTGAACACACACAAAAAATTTCATCAAAATCGGTCCAGTCGTTTGAGAGGAGTTCAGTCACATACACACGCACAGAAGAAATATATATATTAAGATGAACAAGATTTAAAAATTAGTTTGCCAAAGAAGTTTCACTTCTGACATGTGTAGGTACTATATACGCACGCACTTTTTTTTTATAGACAAGTATATTCTTCTGGTTGAAGTAGTCATTGTTGTAATGGGAATTTTAGTTAAATAATTGCCTCCAGAGATACAGGAAATAATAGCAGTGGACGCGATTTTTTTGGCACTTTGACACTAATAACAGCGTTCAACGGTGGCGTTTTTATCTTTTTATTTTTTTTTCTCATGTAATTGACACGTGTATGTTTATATATTTTTGATGGAGGTCCAGATTTTTTATAGTGTCATAATATCCTTATCGCCAAATATATGATGACTCACATCTGACACCTGTTAAAACAGATATATATAATAATGGTTTTAATTAATACTTATTTGTATGTTTGTAACACCATCACGTATCACAGTGTTTTGAAAATAATGGCAATAGCGGTATATTGTTATTAGATTTTTACTGTATTAGATTTAATTGTTATTAAATAAAAAATAAATCAATAACCTTTTTAGGTCTGGGCCTCAGATTTCTGAATCTGTTTCATGATTTGTCAATCTAATAGGCATAGGCCATCAGCCTAAGTATCTCATCAGTAATCAATCATAAGTAGGTCATCAGCCTTATGTGCCTGACACACGCCGTCGTCTTTTTGGGTCTAAGGCAAGCCGGGTTTACTCAGGATGTTTCATACATAGAAAGTCCATTGGTGCACAGACGGGGATCGAACCTACGACATCAGGGATGAGAGTCGCACGCTGAAGCCACTAGGCCAACACAACAAAATCCAAAAGCAAACGCCGTTACATATATATTGTGATAGTTTTAATAAATATCATGTCCGATTATAAATGTGTGTTTAGCACTAAGTCGTAATCTTAAAACAATAAACTCCGAAGACAAGTCGTAACTAGTAACTAAAGTAAATTGGTGTATATGTGGGTCTCTGACCTCGCTCAATTAGATTTGCGAATCCGACTCACCGTTATGACAGTTTATAAGACATACTTATTTTTTAATCTGAATTATATATGAATCCATTTTAAAACAAATAAATAAATTTATATAATTAATCAATTAAACGACAAATGTTTTAAAACAGACTTAAAATACAGTTAATTAAGAATATTTTTTTTTTATTTTTCAAGTCAAGTCAAATCATTTATTTTAATTAGACCACCTAAAATGGCACTTTTGAACATCAAATAAATATAAAAATTATTCTAGTTGCTCCTTCCAAAAGGTAGTTTCAAGTGGGAAGAATGGGCAAGAAACTCCACACTTACTCTTTTAAAATAGGTTTACAATATTTTGTATGTAACATAAGTTAAATAATTATATGTGAAAACAATAAAATAATTAAAGAGTAAAAAAAAGACACTGTAAAACAGTGTGTGTGATAGAAATAAAATAATTACATTTTGTAATATTATTTTTTCGTTTATTTCATTCGCTTACAAGCTTTTTTTTGACTGACGCTTTTAGAGCTTCATTTTTCTATTGACGTTTCATAAACAATACAATCGGACCTATTTACTTTTAACTATGACAAATTTCAAGGCATCGACAAACTGGCACCGCGTTGTGACTGACAGAACACTTCTTCGTCTTATCCGGTAGGTACACTCTAGACAGAGAGGTCGTGATCGCTATGAACGTAGTAGTAATATTAGAAGGGGTAGATCTGATGCGCTTCACGACGTTTCGCCATCGTTGCCTATTAGAGGTCATCCTGCTGCACTGATTGAGTGAACCTCCTACGGCAGACTTGATCTGGACAAAACAGTACAAAACTGTGTCCAATTCAGACTGACAGAATATGAGAATACAAATCATATTGTACCATTATATGTTATTGTACATACATATAAATAAATATTTGTGCTAAGACATTATTGTTACTATAATCTAATACAACATTTTTGTGTAAATGGTGAATGAATAACTCATGGCTCAATGGTGTGCTTTTCAATAGGTACTGCATGAACTTAGATTATAACACTTTAAACCGTATGAATCTATTTATTTATAAAAGCTTGCACAGCGCTCGTCACACTGATACATTTTTACAAGAAAAGTATTTTTTTATATTTGACTCTTATGGCAAACGTATACACGAAGAGATAATAAAAAATATAAAAAATCTTAAAACCAAAGAAAAGTTGCTTTCAAAGTGTGAGGGGACTATTATCCAGACCTAGCTCGTTTATCAAAATGCTCAATCTGCATATCGGTTAGTTTTGGACAAAACCCATTCTTCTGAAAGGGACAAATGGGATGATGGGAAGCCTGGGATATCTAGGGGTACACGAAATTTAAAGTTATAAGTTTGAGGCAATCAACCTGGTTGATTTCTTCAGTTTAAGACCTATAATTATATTTGTTTCACTGGGATACGAACTGATTGTCAACTAACCAATGGTTCATAACATCACGTAGTATCCAGTGACCGTGTAACGCGAACGGGGCGTAGCGGAGCGCAATTTGGTCACAGGTTGGAGCGACGATCGAGCGTGTATAATGAGTGATTGTGACCTAGATTTTTACCAATTTGTTCTATTTTCAGTTATATCTAGGGACTATAGTTAAATTATTTAATACATTGATTAATTTTAAGATATATATGTAATATATTCAGCACACATTGTAATCAGGTGTGGATTTTTGGAAAGTTTTGTTTTAAGCAACTATCTATTTTAGCTTTTTTTACATATGAGTTGTTTCCTCTATACACAATTATTATTGTTATTAAGTCTTTATTGCTGACACTCAGTAAAATATATATAAGTAGGTACTTGTTTAAGTTACATAACCTAACTTAATCTAATATCGTCTGCCCATCTCTTGGTCTGTCTTTATCTTTCCTTTTTCCAGTATTCTCAATGATAGATAATTCAGAGTGGCGATATAAAATACCGGTATTGGGGAGGTGTGTTTGATCGAAAATCTATAGACTATAATAATAATAATTAAGCCTCATATTTTATTCCTTGAAAAAAAATTACAATTTTTTTTTTACAAAAAGTTACAAAATATACACACACACATAAAATATATAGGTATATATACACATAGATATATATTTTTTGTTTTTCTAAGGACCTCTTATTGAGTATAGGCCTCCTCCAATTGACTCCATCTCTCTCTGTTTTGAGCATTTTTCTCCCAATCCTCTCCACCAACTTTCTTAAGCTCGTCGGCCCACCGTGCAAGAGGGCGACCACGCATCTTTGTCCATCTGCCATTATTCATTCGAGCGGTATGGCACGCCCATTTCCACTTAAGTTTTTTGCAATAGGATAGTGCATCAATAACCTTTGTTTTGTTTCTTATTTGTGTACTATAAAAAATATTCCTTACTTAAACTAGAAAGTCGAGTCTGAGCCTGCTATATCATAAAAAATACTCTTCATCTCTTTCTCTATTTTTTTGTTTAGGTTGTGATAAAAAGAGATAAAACTACTATAGTTGAGACGGTACAAACTCTTTTCTTTTATGAATAATGGAGTAAGGTTTTAGAAAAATTCCATTTAAAAAATAAGAATTTTTGTTGAAATCAATAAATGAAAGTCTTCTAATGATTTCATCACAATTTAAAGTAGATTTTAGTTTTTGGTGGTAAATATATGATACATAATTGTGATTTCAGGCAAAACGCCTCAATGGCAACGGCGAACTTGCTGCCATCAAGGTGATCAAGCTGGAGCCGGGTGACGACTTCGCCATCATCCAGCAAGAGATACTGATGATGAAGGACTGTCGTCACCCGAACATCGTAGCGTATTATGGCTCTTATTTGCGCAGAGACAAGCTCTGGATCTCTATGGAGTATTGTGGTGGAGGAAGTTTGCAGGTGGGTAGTTAATAGTGAATAATAGCTGATGGAATAAGAGCTGGTTGAAAAGCGCTAAGGAGATCTAGGATTTGCATCAATCTAAGCTTAGTCATAAAAAATTAAATTAAGCTTTTTTTAAGAACTGCTGCCCATGGACTCTCAATGCCAGAGGGCTCACTAGTGCGTTTCCGGCCTTTTAAAAAGTCCTTATTTCCTCCTTTAGCTTGACAACTCTTTATTTACGGAGGTATTTTATTAATTGTAATACAAATAATAAAAATAAATAAATCAGTGCTGCTACAATTTTTTTAGCTCTGGGCTTCAGATTTCTGTCTCTGTTTCATGATTATTTGTAAATCTAGCAAGGCAAGTAGGTTATCAGCTTCCTGTGCCTAACACGCCGTCGACTTTTTACAAATACATATCTATATTCAAAATAAAATGTGTAGAACCAAAAGAACAAAGGTAATATTTAATTTTAAAGTAGTTTATCATAATTGTATAATTAATAATGAAATTCACGGCGAACTAAACATTCCTTAACAAGGAATAATCTATTTAAAATGTTTTCAGGACATCTACCACGTAACGGGTCCGCTGACGGAAATTCAAATCGCTTACATGTGCCGGGAGACACTTACCGGCCTCTCCTATCTGCATAGCATGGGCAAGATGCATAGGTAATTGCTTCGTGCTTGCAAAATTAAATTAAATTAAATTAAATAAGGAAATAATTTTTTATCATTTCGTGATTCAAAATATTATATCTCTTACACTTTCCGAGTCTCACATATGTAAAAAGATATCCTTTGTATTATAATTGTATTCGTTTTTTTTAATTGATAAAAAGCTTGCCAACGCTCGGCACACTGATACATTGGGTTAAAAAAACACAAAATACAATTTTGAATGTGACCAGCAATTACAGGCAAACATGACATACATTTAGAGATCATACAAATATCAATCAAAACAATTATTAAACAATATAAACATTACAAAAAAAACAATTACTAATCAAAAAAATTAAAAATACAAAAAATTAGATAAAAATCGATTTTCTAGTCTGAGGGGAACAACTATGGATATCCAGACCTGGCTCGTTTTCTCGTATTCATTTTTACAACACACAGCCAAGCGAAGTTAGAGAATTATCACCGAATAAATTCAAAACTCTCGTTAAACGTAAATTAATCTTTTTATAAATTTGATGAATATTTAAATGATCCTAATCCTTGTGATTGATTTGCTCCAGTTCAAACAATTTGTATGACTCAAAACTTGGCGTTTAAAACAGTGGCGGAGATTTTCTTACCAGTTCTTTTTGCCCGCTCTACGCCCTTGACTTGCGAACTGGTAGTAAATGTAAATTTAGAATCAATGTAATATCTTTTCTGTTGACGTTCATACGTGTACTTGTTTACCTATATGAATAAGGTTTTGTTTGTTTATTAATACGTCTTAAAGTTCTATGACCCCTGGATGGGCCAGAGGGAGTTCTCATTCGCATTTCACCTCGCTCTCAAGTCAGACTCTCTGCCTCTTGCAGCTGTACGTCGCCAGGTTTGCTTGACCACGCTTTCCTTGGTCCAATCAAGCGCCACGATAATAGTCCGGCTTGATTCATTATTATTTATATTGTTTCCTGGTTATATCTGAAATGTTATTTCCCCAGTCCCAAATTTCTTCAGTAAGTGCTCGCGTGAGTGCGTCTTCCACACAGTCTGCCTTTCTCACTATATTAATCAGTAGTGCAGAAGTGCTGTAATTGTTTACAGGCTACCATAGAGAAACGCTTCAAGAAAGGAAGAGTCTCTCCTAACCTAAAAATCTTTTAAATTGAAAAGTTAAAAATAATATTGTGAATTTACAGGGATATAAAGGGCGCCAATATACTTCTAACGGAATGCGGTGATGTGAAGTTGGCTGATTTCGGGAGTATCAGCACAAATCACGGCAACAATCAACAAACGAAAGTCCTTTATTGGAACCCCGTACTGGATGGCGCCTGAGGTAACCCATCTATTGTTTGGCTTATGTGCGACTTTACATTAATAATAATAAACTAATTGCAAAGAAAAATCATTCTGATTGATTCATTATATAAAAAAACACACAATCAGCCATATAAAAATAGGCACACCCCTTTTGTCATAAATAAAGTTTTTATTATTATTATTATTATGTATAAATTATATATAAATTATCATCATGTCAAAATAATAAGAACAGTTAAGATATTTATATTGTACTTTTTATTTACCCTTAAAAGAGTTTATTTGTCTCCAAATCATTTCATCCTCTCAATCTACCTGAATCTGTCAATATTATTAGGTAATAATAATTTAAAAAAAAAAAGCAAAAAAAGATTAGTTCACACAGAAAAATGTTTTTTTTTTGCGTTGAAATTTACGCAAAATATATATTTCCAGGTGGCGGCAGTAGAACGGAAGGGTGGGTACAATCAACTTTGTGATATTTGGGCTTGTGGAATCACTGCTATTGGTAAGTTTATTATATGTTTTAAAAAGTTATGATTGGAGATTTCGACTTTATGTGAAATATATTAAAATTATATGTGTAGGAATAGGCCCAGACATCAGAAGTAAACCATGAAATACAATTATTAATAATTTAGTCAATATAACGCAATAGCAGTGTGGGACTGCGGTCCATGCACCTCGACGCATTCAGAAACAATGCGTGTCGATACAGCGGCGAGGCGGGTTTTAATAAACCTGGAGAGATGTAGTGGGGCAATGACGTCAGGTCCAGGTGCAAGCGCACGTGCACGCGCACGTGCCGATAGCGCTCGATAACGCTGTCTCAATTGTACCAACTGCCAACCACCGCCGTCATATATTTCTCGTTCCCTTTCAAAGGTGTCAACAATTCTATGGTGAGATTCCCAAACTGTAAAAGTTCCGAAAATTGCTTGAAATGGCCTGAGAAAACCGTTTAGAAAATATCTGTCCTGTGACGATGATTAAACACTACATATACGGGTAGCCCATGGGCTAATCAAGTTTTTGTATGTAATATTTTCAGAGTTAGCAGAGCTCCAGCCTCCGATGTTCGAGCTCCATCCAATGAGGGTGTTGTTTCTTATGTCGAAGTCGGGGTTCAAACCCCCGCAGCTTAAAGAGCGAGAGCGCTGGTCGCAACTATTTCATGGATTTCTCAAACTGGCTCTCACCAAGAATCCTAAGAAGAGACCCACCGCTGATAAATTGTTGCAGGTTAATTATAATTTTAACTAAACACTTAACACTCTTGAGGTAACTGGTATGTCTTGAACGCAAAATTTAATGTCTGACCCAGAAAGCTAAAAACCAGAAATATCAGGCAAAAATATCAAGAAATGATTACCCATAAAGGTTTATTAAAGACTGAATAACAACTATTAAAAAAATATAGATTGTTATAATAATGTTTGCTATATTTTTATTTATAAAGAAAACATCGTGAAAAAACAAATGATCTTAAAACAGATACCAAAATGTGAGGGCTAGACCTAAAAAGGTTGTAGCGTCATTTTTTTAATTATTTATAATATTAAAGTTTCACAAAATTTGGTATTAATATTGACCTCTTAGGAGTCCTTTTTAATTAGTTTATTATAGCTTTGTATATTAAAAACTCATGGGCTGAACATTTTATCTCTATACATATACCATCCACAGATATATCTGTGTTCTGTTTCGATAATTGTGTAATAATAATAAAATTAAACAATTGCAGCACCCTTTCTTCCAACAAGAGATGAACAAGAGACTGGCGATAGATCTCCTCCAGAAATATTCAAACCCACCCTCACATTGTAATAATCAGGAATTGGACGAAGATGGGGTACGTATCTTTACACATTTATTCTAAGCAAAGCTTTGAATAATTAATTTAAAAAAATACTTTTTAAATTAGAGGTTAAAATACCGTTCAAGTAGTACGTAAACAGAATGACTGCAATTCATCCCCCACCCCCCTTTTGCCTTTACAGTGTAATCTCACTAATCCGGCACTATTAAAAACCGGAGAGTGCCGGATTATTGGTATGTTCGGATTACTGGATTATAGTGAAAAAGTCATAGGTAATTAATAAAATAAACAAATCTAGTGTCTTGTGTTTGCGTTTATTCGACATTTTTAACTATAACCTATTCTCACTTGAAAAAACAAATACGTAAGCACGTGCACGTGATAAGTTTTGAGGTTAGACTGCTAGTTGACGACGCAGCGATCGAAGCGCACAGGTATAGAGGGGTGAAGGAGGCGTGGGCGGAGGGTGCCGGATTATAGGACGTGCCGATCTATCGAAGTGCCGGATTAGTGAGATTATACTTTACATAAACCTATTAATTTTTTGTAGGAATCCTCAAAAATGCATTTCGTTTTCAAGCATAGACAATGTTTTTTTTTATATAATTGGGGGGCAAACGAGCTTGCGGGACGACCTAAAGGGCAGTCTTCGCAGCCCATAGACACCCATTTAATGTGTGGGTAATATGTGTAAAAAAAGTAAATAATTACTGTTGACGTAAGCGTCAAATAAGAAAATCAAAGACCCTCCTACCTTCTATAGTGCTTAGGTAATACTTGTACGGCCCTTGTTTTTAACTAGCTGAATAATAATTAATACATTTTAAGAGTAAAAGTAAAACCAAATAATTATATCCATATTAAAATCATAATTCTTCTAAATATTGTTTACAGGCGATATCCAATGTGCCACAACGTATAGCATCGAAGCACACTGGGCGTGGCGGAAGGCGTGTCCTGGCAGACCAGCCTCCGAACAACATTAGGCCTAGGAGTTTGATTGATGATGATATTATGACAGCATCTAGAGTTCGGTAAGTATTTTATTGAAGAAAAATAGTTTGTTAAAATATCCTATGTTTTGTAATACTATGTTATCACATTTGTATTGTAAGATCTTTAATAAAATTTATCAAATATCCTTAAGAAGAACCCTAACACATAATTAACACGTAAGAGCAGTGTTGGCCTAGTGGCTTCAGCGTGCGACTCTCATCCCTGAGTTCGTAGGTTCGATCCCCGACTGTCCACCAATAGACTTTCGTTTCTATTTGCGCATTTAACATTAGCTCGAATGGTGAAGGAAAACATCGTGAAGAAACCGGCTTGTCTTAGACCCTAAAAGGCGGCGTGTGTCAGGCACAGGAGGCAAATGATCATGCAACAGAATACAGAAATCCGAAAATCAGATATAATTAACTATTTAATACTAATTGTAATCGACTTATTAATATTCTATCAATTCAAATTAAATATATATTATATTTTTTAATACATAGTAAATTCATTTTCCAGTGAAAATAAACTACCTTAATTATTGCTTCTCAGTAGAATCTACTAAAATTACGATTAAAATTGTATTACTAGTTTAATTGAAACCTTATATCATTGTATAATTTGTAGGTTAATGGAAGAAAGTCGCGATCGTCGCAGCGGCGTATACGACGACTCACCCATCATAGACTTGGACGCGGAAGACGACCTCAGCCTCGCCTCTATGCCTAAAGTTATCAATTTCGCTGCCGACCTTAATAATAGCGGGGATACTATTAAACGGAATGGTGAGTTTTATTTTACTTTGTTTTTTTTTGTATTAAAAACTGCACCTTAATCCGAAGTTATAAAGACGAAATTACATTATTGTACGATAGGTATTTGGATACGTATTAAAACAATAAGATCTCGGGTATGGCTGCCCATTTATTATATAAAACATAGATTAAATATAATAATAAAATTACACAAACACATTTATACACTACACGCCCCTTTTTTAGAGAAATAATAGTAATACATTTTTTTTAAATAACATTATAAATGCAGTAGTGGTCTCTGGAAGAATGACCAGCGCCGTGGAACACGTCTGCTCCACAGCATAATGCTGCGCCAGGGCCAGTTACAACCACAACACACTCACAATACACACTTAAAATGTACCTTATTCCTTTTTTTCATTTCCATATTTTTTTATTATTATTTTGTGTCCATCTGTGTGTGTTTCGTTAGTAATAAATGTTACGTCTGTCGGTCTATCAGCAATAAGTGTTAACACTTGTCAACGGCCGCTACTATCTCTCTTCCACTCGATTTGCCTATGCGTCCAAGGATTTACTCCTTCTTTGTAAGAATGATTCAATTTTATTCATAAAAGTATGCAATCATTTCATCAATGTTTTGTTATGACGTTTTCACGTTAAACTATCGTCGGTAAACCGACTTTACAGACAACTATTTTTTTATATTAGTTTCATTTACTTATTTCAGTTTTTATATATATACGTATATGTAATAGTGAGATTATATATCTTTATGATTAAGGTTTTTAAGGCGGTTGCCCCTCAACCTTTATTAACGTGTTTTGTGTTTGTCTTGTAATAGAGGTGTAAATAAATATGAAATATTTTCAGCATACCATAGACAAACCAGTGAAGAGTGGAGTGTCGCATCACTAATGACGTGTCCCAAACACAATCCCCTCACTCAGGAGTTATCATCAGACTCGATATCTACCAGTGAAAAGTAAGTATTTATTAATTATATACAAAATAAATGGATATATGTATGTATTTATTATATTATTTTCTCTTATAGCAAGTGGTGTCGGGTGATCACTGGGGATGATATTATGAGAATGAGTTTGAGGTACTTTAGGACAAAATCCGTTGTTTTTGACATTTGCGTTGTTTTTTTTTTTCGAGTGGAATTGGCAGTTTTTCGATTTGGTGTGGTGTTTTCAATCTTATCGACTAGTCTAGATTAGGCAAACGGTATCTGTAGCTTTTGATTATATAATGTGATGTTACATCACCAAATTTTTATACATACTAAGAAACCATAAATTGTCATAATTATTGTCATCCTTCGTTCACATATTTGTAATTGATAATTGAGTGTTATAACATAATATTAGTTGCAATCGACTTTATGGTCTAGAACAGTGTTTTCCAACATGGGGACTACGCCCCACACGGGGGCTTTGATTTGATTGTTTAGGGGGTCTATTCCAAAATTTATTAAAATTAATTGGAATTAAAATTTAAGTTTTTCATTATATGTTTTACTTACTGTGTATCGTTAACAATTTCCTAGTAATTTATTCCTAAAATGGAAAAATATGATGGGTATCATTTATGTTTCTTTCATTTAACGATAAAAATATATGTTAAATAGGGGAGAGAGAGTTGGAATAAGAATTTTAGTAAGGCTAAGGTTTTAGGGGCATGGTAAAAAAGGTTGGAAAACACTGGTCTAGAATTTAAAAAAAATGGCGCGTTTTATTGTGATTGGTCAAACTAAATGTCGTACAGTGTCGAGCCTCTGTGATTGGTTTGCCGTCGACCAATCATAGACGCGTCGTTCCATTTTACGCTGTCATGTTATTATTGTCATGAATTTAAAATCTACAGATACCATTTTGATCGTACAGTGTGAAAAAGCATTTTTACAGACAAATGTGCATGTTTTACGTAAGGGGAACTTATATTCAGGAGAACTTGAAAATTTAGTAATTGCATTGTTATTGCTTTTGTTCAACGCAAATAAAATTAACATATTTACGCTTTATATTATCAACACTAATTAATATTCGATATTTCTCGACTATAAATTTTTTTTTCGTTTTGTACGCAATTAATCAAAGATACTCAAAACAATTAACACTTTTACATTTAACATTAATTATCTGACATAGTTATATTATTATTTATATGAATACAAGTCATCTACATATATATGTTCACGAATCAAAGGCTCAATGTGCTTTTGCCGATGTTTGTATGTGATTTCTCTTGTTTTAGGAGCCTCTTACAGTATATTGACGAAGAGTTAATGCTCAGGTAAACGTTGCATGACCTGTGTGTTTGGTAGTTGGTTGCTATGTTAACGACAGATTTTTAGAATTTCCAACTTCTTTATACGATTTTGAGTTCTGTCGCTGGCTGACTGGAGTCGTGATTAACAAATATGGTTTCTTTATAGCAGGAATTTAATACGTTTCGGTTAAAATATGTTGAAATAAGTATCTAATACCACCGCGTTTTGTAATTGTTAAAATATTACGTTCGTACTGGCCACTTTGACTTCAAATATCTCCTCTTAGGAATTCCAAATTCAATTTTTTACAACTATTTACTCGTGCATTTGTTTTTCGAAAACCATGATTCATTTCATTTTCCCGCTATAATTTTGTTTCTTTGCGTCAAACTATTTATAAAATGGAAAACATGAAATATATTTTATTTAAAATCTACATTTTGTTCTACACATACAAAACGCCAATTTCATATGTAAGGACCTAATATATTAAGAAAATAAAATATAAAGATCTTAAAGCAACTTTTAGATGAAGTTCTTTTTGTGGGAAGGGCGGGGTTGGTTTACCTATCGCAAGCTAAATCGCCATAAGGTCACAATGCTGTTAATGATGCAACACTAATTTATATAAATTATAAAATTTATTCATGTATATCAGCTCAAAGGTTCTAGAAATGAAAAATAAAATAAATGAAAAGTACTCCCGAAAATCCAACACTGAATATTTTGAGATTCCGTTAGATTTTCAGCGTCCTCTGCTCTTCTTGCTGGATAATTAAAACATGTTTTACGAAAAGATAGTTCTCTATTTATCATTTGCATTCCGTATAGGGAACATAACATAATTTTTTTGAAAAATCTGTCGTTTAGTATATGATTATTGTAGCTACCAGTAATTTTGAAAGGAGGCTTTGCATTTCGATATTTGTAGTATATGTTCCTGAATGATTTTTGCTCAGTACATATATAATACAGATTGATTATATGCTGTTAGATACATAGTTCTATATAGCGATAATTATAAGCTGTATTTTGCATGTACTCACCCTAAATGTTTTAGTATTTAGCATGGTAATGTAATATAAAATGCTGCTTAAATTTGTCTATGTGTATAGAGTATACAGCTATATAGACAAATAATTCTGGAGTTCCCAGGTATAGTTTTAACATAGTTTTACCATTTTTTTATACGTTTCCTGCACCACTTGTTATTTAACGCCTGAAGTGTCTAACATAACCCTAGCTTCAGCTAACAGCACTTCGACCATGCTATCCAAAACTATCCGTTTTAAAACCACTGTCATCCAATTACAGGGCGACACTACCTTTAACAGCAGATACGGCAGCCATGTCACAGGCTGGCAACAATCTGTCAATACACGATCACCATCTCTCCCAATGCATACAGCTAAAGCAGAACTTTTTAAATAATTCTTCTACGAACGTCTATCAAAGTTTAACGAGCTTTCAAACGCCAATCGGGTCGTCTTCGGCGTCGATAAACGAACAATTGTGTAAGAAAGACGAGATAATGTACGCCGATCATCAGGACTCGGAAACTCCCATCAACTCGAATTGTGAGTGTGGTTTGTGCCCGAAACCGGAATCAAAAGACGTGAACACCCTCAGTGATTTGCAACGCTCCGTCGCACCGAAGTGCTCCTGTGACTCCTGCAATTCGAACGGTGATATTCTAAGCTATTACCGGCATTGTCCGAACCAGAATCAAGACTCTGGGATAGTTATCTGTGAGGTTTGCAAGAAACAAAAGATTTCTGTTAGCAATTTTCGCGCTCTGCAGATCGCAAATCGTTTACAAATATCGGATTCGGGGCAGATTGAAAATGGCGGTTCGGATGACGAGTTGTGTCGGAAGATCGACATAAGTTTAAATATGGATGTACAAGAGCATAGAAAGAGGCATAATAGGCACAATTCGGATTCGGTCACGGCGGGGATAGATTTGAATCAGTTCTGTCAGTGTGAATTGGATGGTAGTAAGCGGAAAACTTCGTCGGTAGATGAAATTTTCAAGATGGCGGAGGATGGTGGGTCGAGTCAAGAGTTGAAGGATGATGAGGTGAAGACGAGTCAACGGCAACGAAGCTTATCAGATAGTCAACGGGACAAGGCGAAAGTTGATGCTGAAGGTAAGTTCTGAATTTTAATATTTATTTAATGTACGCCATTTATAACTCTGAGCAGTGTTGGCCTAGTGGTTTCAGTGTGCGACTCTCATACCTAAGGTCGTAGGTCTCATACCTATGGACTTTCTTTCTATGTGCGCATTTAACATTTGCTCGAACAGTGAAGGAAAACATCGTGAGGAAACCGACATGTCTTAGACCCATAAAGTCGACGGCGTGTGTTAGGCACTGGAGGCTGATCACCTACTTGCCTATTAGATTTAAAACAGCTGTTGAATCAGATTTAGAAACCTGAGGCCTAAACCTAAAAAGGTTGTAGCGCCACTGATTTTTTATAACTTTGAAACGGCCGAACCGATTTTGAGGATCTATTTATTTTGTTCGTCTTCGCTCATAATAGCAGAATAACTTATATGATATAGGATAGGTTCACGTAAAATGTCTTTGATATTCTAGTCTTTATAGGCATTTGACATAGACAATTTTTTCATTTGTTTAACATATAATTAAGTCAACGTTATATCAGGGATTTATTTATTTGTGCTGAATCCAAATATCATTAATTCATATTACTTTTGTGCAGTTTTGAACATTAAAAGACAAGTATATTTAAATGAACATCCATGTATAAACTACCATATATTTACTAGAGAATGAATACTTGAACGCTCCCTTAAAAGGTATGTCAGGACCTTACTTACTGATTTAACTTAATATTTCTAAGTCCCCGGAATGGTGAAGGAGAGGGAGTGGTACCATCGTGTGTATCATGACGCAATGACCGGAAAAATATATGGGTTCACCAGGAAGTTGAACTGGTCACTTGGACTCTCGAAGCATTTGTATTCTTATAAAACTGTTTATTCTATTTTGTTGCATGCGCTAGCCCTATCGTGCGTAATCAAAAGCATATATAATATTGTATATATATATTGTGATTCTTTATTGACAATTACACAATTATACAGTAGCAATATCCGAAAAGATCATTTGGATCAGTTTTGGAACATAAGCCATCAATTCTTGTGGGTTCACAAACTTGTTTGCATTGACTTCTGCAGTCGCTGTTTGCAACGCAGCTGGTCGCTTGACCTGAAAAAGAAATCAATTATTGTTTGTAATCACGCCCAGTGCTGATAAAGTTGTTTAATAGGTTACCATAGATTAAAGATTAGCTGAGAGAGCTAAAAAAGAGATTTCCTGTGCTTGAATCAGTGGTACTATAACTTGAACTGGCCACGAGTGGAATTAAGCGTGAAATAATATCGCAAAAGAAGATAATGAGAAGAATACTGTACACATAGAAAATTAGCCAACAGACAGCTGTATATATGATCACTATATATATTAAATTCTCGTGTCACAATGTTCGTTCCCATACTCCTCCGAAACGGTTCGACCGATTCTTATGAAATTTTATATTCATATTCAGTAAGTCTGAGAATCGGCTATATCTTTCAAACCCCTAAGTGATAAGGGGTTTCCCCTTTTTTATTGTTTATGAAAAAATCTTTTTTGTTTTTTTATTATGATACAGCATACAAAAATACTATAACCCCTAATTTTCACGCCTCTACGATCAACCCCGATTTTTTTATTATGAAAAAATGTTACCTATAAATTATATACATGGTAAAACAAACGTTTGTCGTGTCAGCTAGTAGCTTTTTATAAATATACTAGCGCCCCGGTTTCACATTAGAAATTAAGTTAATTATACGACATCACATTAGAAACCTCAAAAATACATATAAACCTTCCTCTTCAATCACTCTATCTTTTAAAACAACCGCATCAAAATCCGTTGCGTAGTTTTAAAGATTTAAGCATAGAGACAGAGAAGGCGACTTTGTTTTATACTATGTAGTGATAAGACCAAGCTGTCCTAAATGAATTTTGGATAAATGTAATTTACAAAACAAAGAATGAAAATGAAAAAATACACATCTAAAACAAGGAATTGATAGAGTTTTTAATAAGACTTTAAACATTACCTTGGCCAGTTACGGTCACAAATGCAGTTGCGAACATGACAACGCAGAATAAAATAGCTGTGAACTTCATCTTGGTTTTTGATTGAGCTCTCCCATCAGTAGTTTACTGTATATATATATATAATACTGTTTCGCTTGAATTAATTTATTTGTCACAGTTATGTGTGACAAATTAATTTGGAAATAATGACCTGTACTACTAAGAATCGTACATTTTCTAATTTCACACAATTTAGTTTTAGACGTTTAATTGGTCATACATATTCAAAATTTGTATAATAACCTTGATGAGATTTATTTAACAATAAAATATATATAAAAACTTTTTCGTTCGGGTTTCAATTAAATTTATATTGACAAAATCTGGAAAAAAATTGAATGTAAAATACCTGCGGGTAGAAGACGTTGTGGTGGTTCAAAAAACATATGTTTTAAGTAAAAGTCACTCGGTGTTCTAAATATTCAACATTTTCGAAAATTTATAATTAATTAATTTTTAATGCATGTATTTCATACTCGACTATACTCTTATTTTTAATTCCGTAATTTTAATTTTGACAGCTATCATTTTTTGACAAGTCAAAACTTTTTTGGCGGGGCACATTTTTCCATTTCAATACGAGTCTGAACATCTTAGTCTACACATACATTTTATTTGTTAGTGAATGTATCCATTTTATTAAGTGCGATGCTCCACATTATAAGTGGTTTTACGGCGAGTGATAATTACGTCTCTTTTCATCACAAACAGTAAAAAACGCACAAGTAAAGATTTTTTTTTAAATGTGGAAACCCTGGAATTAGTAAGCAGTGATGCCAGCTAAAGAATAAAATAAAGTAATTAAAGTTAATTCGATATATTGTTCCTGATATTTAAATATTTGTTATTTTTGTATTAGGTCACTTGAGTAAGTAAATATTTAGATTTACCCTTTTGTAGGTAAAACATATAAAATACGTAGAATGGGTTAAATTTGTCCCTTTTTCAGTGGAGAACTTTTTGTAGCAACACTTATGAAATATCAGAATACTGCGGAATGAAAAATCAGAGTATAAGTAGGTAGTATCAAAAAATTTAATGTTTCAGTGACTTTCAAAATAAAAGAAACAGTTTGTGTGACAGGTAGTAGTACACCTCCCGTCCCTCCTCGGCGAGCGCGGGGTAGACGGGTTCGAAGCCCAGTGCGACCAGCACCCAACGGACTACCGCCTACACCCAAAGTGCACATGGGTGCTTGTTTCTCAAAGGTAAAAATTTTGCCAACTACCCTCAACATTTTGCGCCTCCCCTTGAAATTAATGATACATTAACGTTATCTGATTTTTCTGTTATTAAAAAAAAAAATTTAAATAAGTTAAAAATTTGTTGATTAATTAGAATTTTGTATTCAAAAGGTACCATTAAAATTAATTATAGTCTACTTTAATAACTGTAGTACTAATTTAATTTCAGGTGTTTAATGGTTGTCCTCTTCGGATAAACTGCACAGCATCTTGGATACACCCAGACACCAGGGATCAGCATATTCTCATAGGTAAGAAAAATTCCCTCTGATGTTTTTATCGTCTTCAACGTAATATTTGTAGTTCACAGCCGTTTACTCGTTCAACGTGGAACTCTGATCGATAGTTTAAATCCAGGCTGTCGTAAGAAGACATTGATATCTATACTTCTATACTAATATTATAAAGAGGAAAGATTTGTATGTAAGTATGTTTGTAACGAATTGGCTCAAAAAGTACTAGACCGATTTTAAAAATTATTTCACTATTTGAATGCTACATTTACTCTGATTAATAGCCTACATTATTTTTTTTAAATTAATAATAATAATAATTAGTATTTAGTATTCGTTTGGTTTTGGTATAGTGTTAGCTGGAGAGCTAGTGAACCCTGGGAGTAACGGTCTCCCTGTAAGGTTAGAAATTTGTATACTTACGATTTATGACATGCTAAGAGCAATAGCCATGACCTGGCAGGCGTCAGCCCTGCACGTCATCAGCCCCTTTTTTTTTTGGACTGTTAAGTAAATTGAGTTTCAAAACTTGTTTCTGTAAATTTGAAAATTTTATAGGATAAAGTTTATTTATTGTACATCTTAAAAAAAAATTGACAGGCGATTACAATAAGCAGAAGTATATGACAGATCAATTAGAAAACGTACAGTTGATGAGTTAAAATAAACTTTATCCTGTATACTTAAAATTTTTATATGTTTTCAAGTAAACGTCTCAGAGTAAATATGTACAATGCCAGGCGGTTTTGAACAGCATAAGACCTTGACAGGCGAGGGGACAGCTGCTGCAGCGGCGTGCAAATAAGAAATGTTACATGAACGCATACAGTAAATGCAATGTATTTTATTGGGTTTTATGCAATCTACATTATTTTTAACATTCATTTTCTTCAGCATCATCCGAAATTTCGCTATCACTGTTTTCATCATCATCTGATTCTTCAACAATGTTTTCCTCATCTGAAAATAGTAAAAAAAATATTTTAATGAATCAATAAGGTTGTTAAGAATTAAATATCAAGCTCAATTACATAGGACTGCGTATTAAATGTTACGGAATAAAATAGTTGTATGTTACCTGAAATGCATTCCTCAGTTTCAGTCGATTGTGCTGTGGCAGTATCAGCAGGTCCTTGTAAAAGTATGTCGTATATAGAAGATGGAACCGTATTCCCCTCAAACCAATTAAATTCGTAACGACTATCAATTAAGTTCCAACCGTTATTTTCAGGTGTAAGAATTGTTGGTTCTTTTAAATTACAATTTCGCCATATATTTGTAATGTAGGCAGTTCTCAATAATTGTTGATGTAGTTCACGTTTGCAGGGTGGTAAATTCGATGAATCATAGCTTACTACTTTTTTCATAAACACTTTAGGATTATTTGTGTTGTACGTAGCAAGGAACTTTTCATAACGTGCATTATTTAACTTTGAACATTTCAAACCATACATTTGGCATACAAATTTCTCTAGTATCGGGAAAATTTTTTCTTTCTTCTGTACTATTTCTGCGTTTCCTAATTCTTTGAATGCCTTCTGATATACACTCGATTTCTGCAATATTTGGAATGGTTTTTTTTTACCTCTTCTTGAAAAGGACGGATTGAAATCACACAAACCACGTGTTCCAATTCCATCTTGCACACTATTTACTGAAATGTTAATATTAAGTACAACAATACACAATATCACTGCACAATTGATAATAATATAAAGTTAGATTTTTTAAAAATTCGAATTCACTCAACATAAGAAATGTTATAGCTCAAAGCATCTTCACAAGTAAAAATCATTGGCACAACTGACGAAATTCTTCTCTGTACATTGTTGCTCGAGAGCAGGTATACGTCCCTTCGTATTAGATAAACGGTCTCACTCGCACTATAGGCATTCACGCAACACCTCTCACTCGCACTCCCTTAGCAGCTGTCCCCTCGCCTGTCAAGGTCTTATGCTGTTCAAAACCGCCTGGCATTGTACATATTTACTCTGAGACGTTTACTTGAAAACATATAAAAATTTTAAGTATACAGGATAAAGTTTATTTTAACTCATCAACTGTACGTTTTCTAATTGATCTGTCATATACTTCTGCTTATTGTAATCGCCTGTCAATTTTTTTTTAAGATGTACAATAAATAAACTTTATCCTATAAAATTTTCAAATTTACAGAAACAAGTTTTGAAACTCAATTTACTTAACAGTCCAAAAAAAAAGGGGCTGATGACGTGCAGGGCTGACGCCTGCCAGGTCATGGCTATTGCTCTTAGCATGTCATAAATCGTAAGTATACAAATTTCTAACCTTACAGGGAGACCGTTACTCCCAGGGTTCACTAGCTCTTGGACCATGTATGTTTTTTATGTGAATAAATAAATAATTAACCTCGCGGGCATAAGATACATTTATCCACGTATCTACGTCGCTTTGTTATATCTGTTTTAATATGTGCATGTAGAAAAATAGGAGTAAATAATCGAACCACGAAAAAATAAAAACTCGTCTGACGACTGTGTCCGTTTACCATCTATATATATAAATATGAATCCCTTGGTCACGGCATCACGCGTGAACGGCTGGACCGATTTCGCTAATTCTTTTTTCAGGAGGATGTTCTTATGAAAGAAAAATATCAGAAAATTGCGCGGAAAATTAGAAAATTTAAGGATACTTAACCAACATACAATTCAAACTTTTTTGTGTTTAATATATATATATAATTCTGCTGAACGTGTGTATATCACTGGACTCCTCTTAAACGGCTGAACCGATTTGAATGTTTTTTTTGGATGTGAGTTAGCAGTAATAATTTAGTATTTTCTTTGAAATATTAAATTGTCGTTTGTTTAATGTAAAATTTCAGTTTTCTTTAATTTTTTTATATTTTTGTCTATTAATGTACTTACTTATGTATTCTGTTTTATATACAAAGTGTCCCAAAAGTCGACGTCAAGTCGAAATTTTCTCATAGGTAATGCCACACCAGTTATCAGAAAAATTAAAAAAAAAAAAAAGTCATGTATTTTTGAAGTTATGGATATTTTTTTGTTATTCCAGAAAATGCACACCATGTGACAGTTTTTTCATTCCTGTTGTTACAAATATTTACTTTTTGCCAATTTTTTTTCTCTTACGTCATCCCGAATAGTGTTTTATGTAACCTATGATCCTAAACTCTGTGCTGATCACTCCAACTTTTAGGAAAATGTCATTTTATACCGTACCAAGTTTTCAAAATTAATTTTCGCACTACTTCAACTGATCGTCCTAAAAAAAAATGTATTACTCCAGTTTGGCAAGTAGCTTTGAAAGTTAGCGCATTTAATAAGGATTCTACAGTGGTATAACACTGAGTCCATTATTTCTTAGATCGGCCATAAGAGTTTTTTTTTGTTAAACAAAGTCTGTTTTTAACAATCTCTTTGAAATTACAACAAATGATTCTAGCGCACCCAAAACGTTCCTAATGACCACAGCGTGGTTTAAATAAGATGGAGAGAGACATTCCATAAAATGTGAGCGAGACAGATAGTGACGCTTATGACATACGGACGCAAATAAGTAAAATAGACAGTTTCTTTTTTATGATTAGATTTATTCCTTTTTTTATAAAAGATGTTCAAATTGCCGTCCTTCAGCTGCAATACAGGCTCGACATCTCCTTAAGCGGGCAAATCGTCCATTATTCACAAATTCTACTGCTTCCGCTATTCTCTGTCTAAGCTCTTCTACATTTTGAATCGACTTGGAATAGACTTTTTCCTTTACTGCTCCCCAGTAAAAAAATCAAGAGGATTTAAATCGGGTGAGCGAGCGGGCCACGAGATTGTACCACCCCGCCCTATCCATCTGTCTGGATACTCCTCGTTAAGGTGGTTTCGAACTAAGCGGCTGTAATGCGCTGGACAACCATCTTGCTGGAACCACATATCTCGTAAAATAGTAAGCGGCACGTCCTCCAGCAAATTGGGCAAATGATTTTGTAAGAAATCTAAATAAATTTCAGCATTTAAAACTTCTGGTAACTCAAAAGGCCCTATGACTTTTCCGTTCAAAATTCCACATGTTAACTTTGAAACGGTACTGTGATCTGTCTGGTCTCATCAATCGTAGATTTTCGACGTGCCACTCGTGCAGATTGTGTAGGTTCATGTAGCCGTCTTTTTAAAAGTTGATTCATCCGACCATAAAAAATTTTCTAAGAGCAACCCGAGGTTCATAATCTCGAGGTAATAAGGATTGTACTTGCTGTACATGAAATGGATGGAACTCATTTTTTTGTAGTATTCGGTGAGCTGTACTTTTGGGCACACCTGTGCTGGCCTCAATTCCACGTACCGAACAACTTGGGTCCTCATCAACTGCTTGAAGGACAACTGCCTCGTAGGGTAGTGAAATTCTACCTTCACCGTGCACTTGGTTTGGCAGTCGGCCCTCAGAGAACAGTAGACGGTGCACATTGGTAAAAACTCTGTGATCCGGATAGCGATCTGCATTAGGGTATCTCTCGCGATACCGTCTAGCGGCTTCACTGGCATTACATAAACATTCCCCATAAATGAGGTGCATGTTAGCATATTCCTGTGTAGTGTACGTAGCCATGGTATGGTACAAATACACAATAACACGTAAGTCCAGGGAAAAGTAAAGGTCGTCGTAGATCACAAATGTAAAATCCAAATCACAAGCAAACAAGTCCGTAAACGAAACCAAAGTAGTTAGAACACAAAATAACACCAGCGAATACGAAAAGATGCGTAGTAAACGAAGGAGCGTTGCGTACTGACCTGTAGTGCGTGTGTCAATAGCAATAAGTAGCGTCACTATCTGTCTCGCTCACACTTTACGCCATCTTATCCACGCTGTGGTTATTAGGAACGCTTTGGGTACACTAGAATCGTTTTTTGTAATTCCAGAGAAATTTTTAAAAAACAGACTTTGTTTAACAAAAAAATTTTTATGGCCGATCTAAGAAATAATGAAGTAAGTATTATACCATGTTAGAATCTTTATTAAATGCGCGAACTTTTAAAGCTGCTTGCCAAACTGGAGTAGTACATTTTTTTTCAGGACGATCAGTTGAACTAGTGCGAATAATTAATTTTGAAAACTTGGTACGGTATAAAATGACATTTTCCTACAAGTTGGAGTGATCGGCACAGGGTTTAGGATCATAGGTTACATAAAGCACTATTCGGGATGACGTAAGAGAAAAAAAATTGGCAAAAAGTAAATATTTGTAACAACAGGAATGAAAAAACTGTCACATGGTGTACATTTTCTGGAATAAAAGGAAAATTTCCATAACTTCAAAAATACATGACTTAATTTTTTTTTTAATTTTTCTGATAACTGGTGTGGCATTACCTATGAGAAAATTTCGACTTGACGTCGACTTTTGGGACACCCTGTATATTGTTTATCTATGTAATCTGTTTTGGCTTTGTATTATGTGTATATGTATATTAGCTGTAAGATTACTTATAAATAAATAAAGATATGATTTGTAAAAACCCAATATGAAAAACGGGACGTTGTAACAATTTTTACCACAAGTATCAGATTTCTATAACGAAATTTTTAAGTAGAGTTCAAAGCTGTATATAAGAATCTTGTATTTGTTCTTCCAGGTGCGGAGGAGGGCATCTACACTTTGAACTTGAACGAGCTACATGAGACTGCGATGGACCAACTCTGTCCTCGAAGGACGATTTGGATGCACGTGATCAAGGATGTTCTTATGTCGCTCTCTGGTATGTACATTAATATGTTTTATTGTTAATTTATATAAAATTGTATATGATACAAATAATTTTTACGTGATAACGTCTTATAAATCAATGAACGCACGAAAAACCATGACTCATTGTCCCGTTACGCTCATTGTACGCTTTCGCCGCATCTATCTCTCTTCCACTTGATGGCCCATGCGTCCGAGGATTCATTCCTTTGTATCCCTACAAATTAGTAATAATTCAATTTTATTCATAAAAGTATGCAATGATTTCATCAATGTTTTGTTATGACGTTTTCACGTTAAGCTATCGTCCGTTAACAGACTTTTCAGACAACCATTTATTTTAATTATTAAAAATAAGCAATAAAAGTAAAAAAAAAAATTAAAAGTATTTTTTACAAGCTGCTTTAAAATATGTGACAATTATGGTAAACATAAATGTTGCAAAAAATTAATAAATAATTATAATAAAAATAGAATAAAACCTTCAAATTTTAGATTTGACACACATTTTTTGCTTATTGTAAAATAGCGGATTAGGTATCAGATAGGCACTTAACAATGTTTTTTTTTAATTAAGCAGCCCACTACCGAATGCCAAGCCCACCAAGTGGTTATTCTGTTTTTTTTCTTCAAATTTAGTTACTATGTAATATAAAGGTGCTTCGATTTCTAGTTTTCTGTGGTTTATATTATGTGTTTATGAGAAACGCGTTAAGTTATCGTAACTTTAAACTTAAGAAAGTAGTTAATATTGAAAAATAATGTAACACCCTCAAATATAACCCTAATTTTTATAACAATGTTTTGACAAGAGTTGTCCCTTTCTAGCACAGCTTAAAATCTATTTGACAGAACGAGACGAAGGTGTACTTAAAATGTTTTGTTTTTGAATATTTAACAAGTGGTATGTCAACAGGTAAAACCCCCTGCCTCTACCGGCACGAGCTGTTGGTGTTAACGGGTAGTGGGCGGGCGGGGGCGGGTAGATCCCTTCGCGTGTTGCCGCCCCGGCTTCTACCCAGACGGTTCGCGCCTTCCACGCGCGTCCCTGACACCAGAGGTAATATTAATATCTCAATTTTCTTGAATATTACATAAATATTTAAAAACCTCAGGTAACACTTATTCTTACGATTTATTTTTAGGTTGTACCGTGTGCGCAGTAGTCCGTAACCCTTACAATGGATACAAGTACCTGTGCGGGGCCACACCCGCTGGATTATTCCTCATGCAGTGGTACGACCCTCTACGGAAGTTCATGCTACTGAAGGTATTCAAAACTGTAAAGCTAATGGCCTACTTGAGGCTAAATAGAAGGATAATGTATGTGTCGCAGCCAACTAGATTAATAAGCCGTTCAATTAACAGCCTAGCCTTTTAACTAAACGGCGCCGTTTAACGAGCGGCCTGAAAGATATATTCAACCAGTTGATTAAACAGCTAGGCTTGGACTTGTTGGTTGGTTGTTTAATTAAACGGCTAATTAAGCTTGTTGGCTGCGACATATGCTCTGCAAGCGTGCCGCAACAAGCCGAGTGTATAAAATATAAATGAAATCATAAATAATTAAATGCTTTAAAAATATTTACAGCCAATTCTCAAATAATGGCGTAAAACGAGGTGAACTGGAAAAAAACTTGTAATTGTTTGTTTTGCACTTGTATGACTGAGTTTGACTTCCGAATGTCAAAAATGTATTCAAATGAACGAAGACTCAACAGGCAACTTATACTGGGCTCAAATACATTGATTTCTTGAAAGCCATGGAAATATATTTTTACATAGCAATTTTATAAAATTTGTGTTTTCAAGAGTCTGTTTGTATTTATTTCAGAACATCGAATGTGTCCTACCGTCGCCGTTACTCGCTTTCGAGTTAATCATTACCCCGGAGCTGGAGTATCCACTTCTTTGTGTTGGCGTCACGAGGAAACCTATACGGCTAAATCTAATTAATATAAACTCGGGTAAGACAAAAAAAAGTGCGTGCGTACAAAGTACACATGTCAGAAGTGAAACTTCTTTGGCAAAGTAATTTTTAAGTCTTGTTCATATTTATACAAATCTAAGACTTTAGATTTCCGAGACTTAGAGGGAGGGAAAAGGAAGATATGTTAGGAATTTGATTGTCAGAAATTAAGTGTCGAACATTAATACAAATTATACTTTTAATTTAGTTCTTCGATAATAAAAATACTTGGCATTTTAATTTACAATTCTTCGTTTGAGATTTCAATAACTTATTTTGCATAAAATATAAAGTACTATTTATATCATATTTACTATTATTTCATAAATTTTCTTTACGAAATTTTAGTTTTAAAAATAGAATTTCTATAAGGTAATTCTCTCCCACTCTTCTCACTCTCTCTCAATCGGTCTCAATCGCTCCCTTTATTTCGACAAAAACGCTGCACAGAACCAAGTTAATTTAATAAAAAAACAATTTTTTTTTCTGACCGTACTTAATTAGAAAGCTTACTCTGTGGTCTTAAAAAAGTCTAACATTTAATGTTTGCTGACAATAGTTTCTGTTTGAATTGAAGGTGCGAGCTGGTTCCACTCGGACGAGCTGGAGGTCCGCCCCGGGGGCTCCAACACCGTCATACCGAGGCCTGAGAGGCTTCACACGCTTAGGGCTGTGCATCAGTTGAATAAGGACGCGGTGAGTGTCGTTGCCGTATATTGAACTATTATGAGAATTCAATTTTAATTTTAAAATCTCTTGCCTTAAAACTAAAGTAATTAACTTTTTAACAATAGCAAGAATAATACTTCTCTATCTTCTTCTTCTCTCTTTTTTAAGCATTTAATCTGTTTTTGGTCAGAGCCAGTCTACTCAATATGTTAGTAAAAATAAAGTTTATACTGATTAAAAAAAAGTAGGTTTATAGGAAGTGACCTGTAGAATTATAACTGTGTATTAAATGTATGTTTGTCCACAAATTTCTCGGGAACTTAATATCATATCCAGATGATATATCTTAATTGTTATACCAACAGGCATTTGAAAGGTTTCATTAAATTTCCAGGTACTAGTGTGTCACGAAAACGTAGTGGACATAATCCCGGTGCTTCCCGGGTTCGATTCCCGGCGACAAGACGACAGGCGGAAGAGCAAGTTGCCGCAGAGACTGCAGTTCGACTTCCAGATTGATAGCATATGTGAGTATTATTAAAATTGTGATTTTATTTAAGACATGATACAAACAAATATTAAAGAAAGAAAATTCGTGATTTCCTTCATAGAAAGTCAATTGGTGCACAGCCGGGATTCAAATCTACGACCTCAGTTAAAAGTATTAATAGAACAGGGGGCAAACGCGAAGGTGACTCATGTTAAGTGATACCGCCCATGGACACTCTCAATGCCAGAAGGCTCGCAAGCGCGCTGCCTGCCTTTTAAGAATTGGAACGCTCTTTTCTTGAAGGACCCTAAGTTGAATTGGTCCGTAAATACTTCAGTTGGTTCCACATGGTGGTGCCGTCTAATACTGCTTTAAGAAACGCTCAGTTGTGGAACGGACGTCTATGTGTACGGGTGGTATTTCGTAATCTGCATTCTGATGAAACTCCGAATAATTCCTCTGAACACTTTGACTTGTAATTGAGTCAACTCTGCTTTTAGAAAATACGAGTTGTCTATTTTTGGGTTTATTATTTTTTACTCTTCAGTATGTCTGGCGGACTCGGTGCTGGCCTTCCACCGCAACGGTATGCAAGGTCGGTCCTTAAGGAACGCTGACGTCACTCAGGAAATAGTCGACCACTCACGCGCATACCGACTCGTCGGACACGACAAGTTAGTATTCACATTTTCTATCCATTAGGATAAATTGCGACTTTTCAATTGGGGAATAACGTAAGTTTTATTGTACACAGACTATAATTATGTAGGCTATTTGACATATGAAATATAAAGTGTTATTGAAAGTATAAAAAAAAGTGGAAATCATTTAAAAAACGTTATGGAGTAAAATAACTTGGAAATAATCTTTTATAAAATCACGTGACACAGTCACAGAGCAGTCGGATCTAAGATGAAATCTTGTAGTATGTCCTTGTCTCTCTAATCCTAATACTGACTTGGAGATAAATTTCTTCGGAGATTAAATTTGATTAAAATATAATATACTAGCGGCGCGTCCCCGCTTCGCTCGAATGGACATTTATTTAAAAAAAAATGTAGATATTGATAATATAATGAGGATATATATAGAAGAATCTCAATTATTAACCAAAGTAACAATAATAATCATCAGAACATTTCCTCATAATCCGAGCTTTTCCCGATATACATATATATATTCATATAAATTTTAACACACTTAAAAGAACAGCAAACTAAGTTGTGTGAAAAATACTTAATTTTTTTAGCATGTTCGAAATAATTTATCATTAATAATTTATTTCAGAGTTGTAGTACTAGAATCGCACGTACTCCAAAACAACACGCTCTCAGGCGAAGACGGGAACGATCTATATATTTTGGCCGGACACGAGGCCTCGTACTAATTACCCACAGTTGCGGCCAATCTCTATAGCATAATTATATTTTAAAATATTCAAAATCAAGTATATTTTGATGGAGGTATAAAGATTGGCCGTTATTTCTGTTAATCGAAATATTTTTCTAATTAATAGTCCTGCGTTCCTAGTAGGATTAAAAAGTTTGTATACTATTCCCCGTATTGATAAAAAGTCAGTTTGCCCTTAGTAGTCTTTTGTCCCTTTCCGTCAAATTATGTTTACGCTGTGATGAAAGCAGACAGAACGCAAGCGGTAGTACATTAGATAAAACGGTGCCACTAGACTGTTTTTTTATGAATGTGGTATATCTATGTTCATAATAATCTGTGTTTGCACAGATAACATAGCAAACATTAAAATGCCACAGAGTTAATAAAAACATGTTATCGTATTTTCAACAATTGGTTATAGGAACGCAGTATTTAAATCTTTATTTTTCCAAAATAATCAACAAATGTTATAGCACTGCCCTACTCCATTCCATGGATGACATTGAAGCAATAAATTATAGAATATTTTTGTTTATTCGCAAACTTGTTGAGATTAAGCAAACGCCATTTTGAACCAGTGACGTAGTTTCCTATTCTCATATTCAAAGCATCTTTTTCTCAAGTTGGATGACATGCTTAAAGAAAAGATGACAAAACTTTAAATACAAAAATATGTCTCGAAATTTTTCTTTCTACCGTTCTAGTTAAAACATATATTGCAAATAACTGTTTCAGCCATATTTTCGCTGTCTATAGGAAGTAATCCAGTGATTCTTATAAATTTATCTATAAAACTAAAGCGATATCCGACAAGTTTGCTTGTTAGTGAATATTTAATGGGAGTTTAGCTAATTTAACAGATATTGCTGTCTCTATCGCACATATATACCTGAGATGGACAGCAATATGTTTGAGTTTCAATCGTACACTTTGACAATTTACAATGAATTTATTTAAAATTAATGTACTTCATTTTGAATTATTCAATAAATGTATTCTAATATAATAAAAATTAATAAATCTATATGAATGTTATTAAAAGCGTTTAATTATATCGAATTAGGCTTTCTAGCTATAACGTTGAAATAATCGTTATTTTCATATGATGTTACTGTGATTTAGATGCGACGGCATTTTAAAGTATTTATTGATATGTGATTCATTTAACGCCAACAATGTATGAAAAAGACAAATATTTTGACACTTGTGTATTTGATCATGCGCAAGAGACGTTTTAAGAGCAGCTAGCCGACCATTATTCGTTGAAAAAAGGGCGATAAACAAAGTTAATTTTCACCTTTTTAACAAATAAAATAATACACAAGTGTCAGAATGTAGGATCGTTATAACATGAATAGTTTATAGTAACCAAGAAAATATTAAATTGCTTATTTTGTAAATATATAAAATTCCAATTAGTGTTAGTCAATTGTATTATAGACTAGTTTAGTTCAATTTTAGTTGAGTGAACTAAAATGTTACATTTTAGTTTGTTTAACTGAAATGTATTTGGTGTAACGAGGCTTCGACTCGATATGGACTGTTTATTTATTAACTGTGTTGTTTATTTGATTTGCATGTTTAGAAATCTGATGTTCGTTACGGGATCAATAGTTGTCAAAATTATGTCCTAAAATATGTTAGGTAATGTCATTATTAATAATACAGTATGAATTTCACCATCGTACCTCGAGGCAGAATATGAAATTTAACCCGTATCACCTCGACGTCCGTCGCTCCACAACTTAGCGTCCTTCAAGAAAAGAGCGTACCAATTCTTAAAAGGCCGGTAACGCTCACGAGCACTCTGGCATTGAGAGTGCCCATGGGCGGCGGTACCACTTAATATCAGATGAGCCTCCTGCCCGTTTGTCCCATGTTATAATAATATTCCCATAATTCAGCGCTTAAATTCAAGTTTTAGTTCCATTTGTCAAAATGTTAACGAAATATGACAGATGTGAGAGTTAGTTTGGTCTTAAAGTTGACTTAAATATAATTAAGGCAAAAGTGTCTTAAGACCAGTCTTGTTAGTTCTTAGTTTAATTGTCATATACCGTAACAACTTCAGTTTTTCTTTTGTGAGATTATCTCTCTGGTTGTATTTTAGCACACAGCACTTTCATTTAAGATGACACTTAAATAATAAAACATACCAACACATATGAAACATTTTTATGGATATCAGTTGTAGTACCCACAACTTTCAATATTCTTGGATAACATAAGTTTGGTATGTTTTATTAAATTCTTAATACAATGTAATGCTTTAAACCAGTTAATTTACTCTTGTAATAAAATTTTAATTTGATTTTTTTGTTGTTTATTTTCATTTTTGATACACTCCTTTAGTTAATTATTAGTTGCTTACTTAGCAGATTCTTTAATAATTCACACTAATGATCGCTAGCTAGCTGTTTTACTTAGATATAATTCTTAAAGGAAAATTTATATGTTTACATCCAATGACCAAGTAAAGGTTGTTTCAAGTATATTATTTATAACACTTGCATTTTTTTAGATCTAGAAAATGCCTTTATTACTAAGTACACATTTAAAAAATCTGAGACTAAATGAATTAAATAGAAACTATTCTAATTCAATTACATTAGCAATAGTGTATTCTCTTATAGATGAAGCTTTTCAAAGATTTCAAATATCGAAATTAATTACAAAAATTTACTTTTCTTCAAAAAAAATTGAGAAATATAGTTGCATTCTGTTATACACTTCTGATATTGCCAAATTTCACTTAGGGCAAGTGGACTGAAAAATTGGCTGTTATATGTAAAATTTAATTAGTTAGGATAGCTTGTAGTTTTTCGATTTCAAAGTTTTAATAGGTGTAGGTTTCGAAATTATTAGATGTAAGAAAGAGAACACCAACCTTTAACAAATATAAGATATACTGTATAGTTACCTACCTTTTTTTTATTTCAGAATAAGACAGTCACAACAAATTATAATGATCTAAATTGTTTTTTTGGGTTGTGCCTTAGTAATTGCTTGTAGCCAAATTTTAATATGGCATAAAAACTGATTTATCCTTAACCAGGTTACCATATATATATATAATATTTCATTGGAGATATTGGTGTAAATATTATATTTTAATATTGACATCTTAAATATACCCTTTGGATAATGAGAAAATATGTTCAAATTTTAGCTGACAATAATTGAAAGCAAAAGTTTTAACATATAAGTCTTCTATTTGATATCACATTTGTAAGCTATGAAATTGGATGGCAGTTAAAATATGTATTGTCTATGAAACGCTGGTTATCGATTATAAAGATTCAGTATGATGCCAAATAAACTTTTTAACTTACATTTCTTAAATAATTTGTGGTTTATAAAAATGTATTGTTTACTTCATAAATTATTTTAAATTTTAATAGAGAACAATAAATATTCTGATAATTAACTTAACTAAAGATAGTTGTGCATCAATAAAAACCTATAGTTAAATCCGTAAATCAATTATAGTTCAAGTTTGATATCTTTGTTGACAAAACTAAAACTCAGTTTATACATTGTCAATCTCGTACAAAAACTAGTTTAACATAGTGACAAATCAAAAGTGTGTAATACATATTTCGATTTAAGTAATTCTTATGTAAATATAGGTGTAGTTGCAAATTAAAGGTAATTCAAGATTATATCTGAAAATTTTATTCATTAATAAAATAAATAAATTTAAACAATCTTTTATTTCACTTGATAATTCTATAAGTAATTGCTAACACATAAGCCGGGGCAATATACATCATAATAACATTTCAAACTTTATCCCGCTTGATCTTCAAATCAAATAACTTCATTATAGAAAAAAGTAAACACAAAGTTAAGCCTTATATTTAAGAAATCACCAATTTGTACAAATGCACATCATACAAAATCACCCAGTATCACAATCAGTCATTATTCATTTTCACTATTTTAACCATCCTCTTCTACCATCTCTACGTCGTCGTCTTCTTTCTTCTTGCCGGCAGATTTCTTTGCAGAAACGGCTAATTTATACTGTTCTAAGGCCTCTCGTAGTGGTTCGACAAACCGTTCAAATTCGATATCAGCCATGGCCTCCAGGACATCTTGACCTGTTAAAGCTTTTCGTTTATGATGTTTTACTGTGTTCGTTGCAGCTGATGTCACGTATAGCACGAAAACAGATGCAGCTTTTGCTAAACCTGTCCGGGCCTCCTTTGAAATAGAAACGCCCTCGGGTAGAACCTCTTTAACTATTCTTCCGACGACTGTAAGTGGCAGATTCAGGTCCTCTAATTTCTCAGCCATATTAAATAAACCAAAAAATACAATTAAATATATATAAAATTGGTGGTCAATGTGTTATATGTTGCAGCCGGCGATATTTGCGCGCGGTATTGTAATTTGTAACATATTACAATTTACAATTACTTGTAAAATGTCAAAGCATCACTGTCAATTGTTTACTGTCAAACTGTCAGCGAGAGCCGATAGTGTACCCTAAAACTTAAAAGCTTTCTAGTCTGTATCAGTATGTTTTTCAAATCAAGGAGGAGTAGTCATCGTTCGCGTTTCTATCGATTTGTTCGTTTGATTGTGTTATTTCAATGTTTATTCTAAAAACATGCTGAATATGACACAAAAATAAATTAATTACGTATATACCTGTTTCTTCAAACTTTGCTTTTATGTGTTATAAAATAAATAATAATAAAACATTGCTTTTACGACGGTTCGAATCTAGGAATAAAGGTGTTGTGACTTTAATAATTGTGAATTGTGGAAGGTACGTATTTATATATATTTATTGTATTTTATGTATTTAGTTAAATAACGATTAACCATAGAATATTTAGTAAATTATTTGTTGAAATATATATGTGAAGAACCCAGAAGTTTTTATAGCGTTATTTACATAAAAAAGTAATAAAATGCATTTCGATACGAAGCAATGTTTTAGACGGCATTTAAACGTAATACAAAATGTGAATTCGAACATTATTGATCGATTGTCAAGCGAGCCGAATTTCATTAGAATTACTTCACGCCACGAACCCAGCATAATTTGAATTAAATTAGAATATTTTTCATAGACGACCGTCTCTGAAAGATATTACAATTGTATATTCTCCTAAACTTGGTAAACAGTTTTGAATATTTACTTAACTTCACATTAACCTAAATATTATTTGGTAATATAGCTACTTGTTTAAAAAATGGCGTTGCTTTACAATCACTCCTCTACCACAATTTCATAATTAGCTATAAAAGGGTCGGCTCGTTTATAAAGAAAGTCCGTTGAACTCTATGTGGTCGGCAGTCGGCACTCGAAAGGGTCTGAAACTGCTCTGCAGCTAGGTCACTAGGTCAAGGAGTTTGTTACAACAAAATAAGTTATCGTGCATGCAGATAGCATACTCTTACAATAGCATAATCTAACAAGCATCTGACTATAACCATTTTAGATATTCCTACGCACGGTGAGCTCCGCTGCGGTATATTTGATCACGCACTTAGGGTGATATACAAAAAACAATATATTCAATTTTTTTGAAGTGAAACGTCTTTAGGCGCATAAGGGTAAACTTTTACGGAAACATCACGAAGATGTGCAGCGTTTTTGTCGAAGAAAAGGGAGAGAGCAATTGATACCGATTGAGAGAGAGTGAGAAGGGCGAATTACCTTATAGAAATTCTATTTTTAAAATTAAATTTTTGTAAAGAGAATTTATGAAATATTAGAATTTTATATTTTCTGCAAAATAATTTATTGAAATCTCAAATGACGAATTGTAAATTGAAATGCCACGTGTTTGTATTATCGAAGAAATAAATAAAATCGACACTTAATATTTTAATTACAATTAAATTCCTAACATATCTTGAATCTTCCTTTTTCCCTCCCTCTAAGTCTCGGAAATCTAAAGTTTTAATTAGATAAATATGAACAAGAGTTAAAAATTGGTTTGCCAAAGAAGGTTCACTTCTGAGTTCTGAAAAGTGTACTTTGTACGCACGCACTTTTTTTTATACGGAGCAACAAATGACTATTAGAAATATTTTTAAATTTACAAATAAAGTGGAAACCACTTAGCTATAATAAAAGCCTTGTACATTATGTCGAGGATGACAAGTTCATATTCGAACAAATTAATATAATGACATGTTCGGGCGGTCTTCAGTTCTTGACCTTGGATGTCGGACCTGTTTGACGTGGTTGAACATAGATACTGGCCATACATTTTGTTAAGGTTTGTTAATAGTTTAAAAAATTAAATATACGCATAGAGTAGAGAATTAACCTACTATAGTAATTTTTTTGACGTGACAACGTCTTATAATTCGATGGAGCCGGCTGCACGAAAAAACATGATTCATGCGGCGTTACCTCTGAGGCGTTCCATTTAAGGCTTGAAGTGCAAGCGAGAGCGCGGAACGAGCGACAAAGAGGCACAATCGGCCTCCGCGTTTGACAGCGTTCGTTCGTTAAAAAATTGACATAATTGTATTTATGCGTACAAAGTTAAATGTAACTTGATCAATTCAATTGTGATTTCCATTTACCTCCTTCTCAATATCCATACTTAATATCTATCAAACAAATAAAATTAAAATTTTCTTTTGAAAAATGCAACCATTCCATCAGTATTTTCTTATGACGTTGTCACGTTCAACTATCGTCAGTAAACCGACTTTACAGACAACCGATTTAGACAAGATGCCTTAACAGTAGTGTATGTAGAAAGTCGAAAACTAAATTTGTGTAAAAATTTTAGGACACGAACTGTCATTTTTATACAACTTATGAACACACCTTGGTAGTGTAATATTGTTTCGTGTAACGCAATTTGGCTTTTTATATTATCGCTGACTCCTAGTATTTCATCGTTTAATCAAAGCTCCAAATATGAGTAAATCCCAAAGCTAAAACATCTGACCACAATAGAATAAAAAAAATATGTAAGAACAAAGTCATAAAACTTATATTTGCGAAATTTATTGATAAAAAATTTACTTTTATTCTTGTAAACCGTTAAAAAAGATGTGTTCGGACAGTAGTTTAAAAACTATTAGTGACAATATAATAAGTATATATAATATAATAAATATTACGATAAATTGTATGTCAAGGTGACTTATAATAATGAGCAAACGTGTAAAGAGTAAACAACGAACCGTGTGAACTTTGTACTGATAAAAACCTCTGTTTACCTACAGTAAAAAATAATTTCCATTCCCAAGAAACATAGCTATATTTTTTCAGTTTCTTGCTACACTCCAGAAAACTTAGGGATACTAAAATGTTTCATTGCACTTTCTGATGTGTAAAATAAAATTCAGTTTTGACAATAACCAGTGACCGCGCAACGCACGTGTCATTGACAGCTTAATACAGTTCCAATAATCTAATACGTGATAATTAATTATAATTCAAGTTGTAAAAATCAGTGGGTAAATATTAACATGTGTGTAAAACTACTGACTGACTATAATTAATACAGGCAATGGCTCTCCATAACACAGCTGAGTAATAACGCAATTTAAAAAAGAAAACGTCAGTTAAAAATTAAGCAAATTTTGTAGGTAAATAGAAAACGGTAAGAAAAAACTATTAAAATCTCTATTAATTTATTTTTCATATACTTCTAACTATACACCCTTAATAGTAAATTACCAATAGAAAAGTTGTGGATCATAATCTCAAAAATCGTTTACAAAGGTGTGATTAGCTAGCTCCTTTCGCCCCATTGCCAGGAGAGAACCGGATAGTTTCAATAAAGGGAGAAGAGATGGCAGGTCGGAGTCTCTTTTGTTTGACCGAATAAAGACAATTATGATCTCTTTCATAATGTCCTGAGACATGCTGAAAATAGAGTGGTGTGGAGGCAGCAAGTTGACGTATTGGTTAGGGCTTTTCAAGACAGGCACGACTCAAATGAAGACTACGAAAAAATTAGGCTTCTATCAATACTATTTACTTTATTCACACTGTGTTACATTTATATAAAAACAAATAACATAAACATTATAAGAAATGCAACGGGCGGCCTTATCGCCAAAAATGTAGCTGGTATGTATACAAAAATAGTGATAAGTCCAGAATAGAACATACGCATAATGTTAATACTCGGAACAAACGCAGACTGCAATTTTCCCCGTACTAGACAATCTAAAGTTCGTAATTATTTTTTGGGAAAAGGGATACTTTTCTTTAATAAAATCACAGAGGCTCTTTTATCTCTGCCTTTTAATAAATTTAAGAATTGTGTTAAGAAAAGCTGTTTAAAAAGGCTTACTATAAAGTTAACGATTATCTAGTTCATAAAAGGGCCTGGGACTAGTGCTAAACAGGCTGTTTCTAATTAATTTGCGATATTTGTTTTAAAATAAGTGTTGTTTGACATAGTTATTTTGTATGATGATTCGATATTTTAAAAAAATACCGAGGTTATACGCCGGCTTTTTCTCTCGGCCTACACCCTCCGTCTACTTTGCCGATGAGTAGGGATGTCTACCGTAACAATTTAATGACGTGGAATAAGTGATACCTGTATCTTATATTCCATAATAAACATGTTTTTTTTATATTTTTAAGTGATAGCTCGAAGCGATGATCTTACAGGCATAGTAAGGGAAAAAACTAAAAAAATCAATATTATGGGTAAAGTGCGTAACCATATCTTATAAAAAAATACCATACAATAGGTACTAAATATTATAACAAATTAATAATGGCTCTACGTTACACCTATTTTTTTTAAACAAATGCCAATCTATTTAACCAATCAACCGTATATTAGCAAGTGTATAAAATCTTTTGTTTTTAATAGCTCGCACGTAAAAGGTTCCAGTCGCTACAGACTTGACGTCGCCTGGCTTACTGCCATCCTGTTGACACGAATATCGATTTTCATACAAACCTTAACAATTGTGACGCGGTGATATTCATTAAAAAACTAGCCTTCTCCAGGATTTCCTGTATTTTGGCAAGATCTTTGGCGACCTCTTCAGCAATATATAATATATTTCCGTCATCCATATTTCACAAAAAATAATGCTTGAAAGTGAAAGCTTATAATGAGCGTCTAAGCACGCGATTGTTGATTTCGGAAGTAGGCGACTAAGAGGTAATCTTGAAAACCTTTAAGTGAGAACACTAAATATAATACAAATTCCCTAACATTCTCCCAAACCGAGTGGTGAGTGGCTGATTGGAATAGGTATCCGGAAAGTGTGCATGCGTGTGTGTGAAAGTGTGTTAGTGCACCCTCATTGAATTAATTTGAAACAGGCTGGATTATTCCTCCAAATCCGCAGTTATGCTAGTGTTTTTGCTAATTACGTAAATAATAAGCAACCAGTGGCGCTACAACCTTTTTAGGTCTGGGCCTCAGATTAGAAATCTGATCCTTATCCCTTTCATGATTATCTGTCAATCTAATGGGCAAGTAGGTGATCAGCCGTTGACTTTTTAGGTCTAGGCAAGCCGATTTCCTCACGATGTTTTTCTTCACCGTTTTTGTTAAATGCGCACATAGACAGAATGTCCATTGGCGCACAGCCGGGGTTCGAACCTACGACCTCAGGGATGAGAGTCGCACGCTGATGCCTACCACTAGCCACTAGGCTAACATCTCTACAAGCTAAAGTAGAGCAGCATCTAAAAGAAAGCAACCCTTACTAAGGTCATATTATACGTCTCTAATTCTCACCATCACTCAGTCGCAGAGGCTTGCAGAAGACAGAGCAGTGGAGGAAATTGGCGACACTAATACGACCTTCTGAGCGATGTCGCTAGAAGGGCGTACATGGTCACGAAGTAATAAAGAATATAATCGTATGTAATAACGAAAAATAAAGGTTAAGGCCGAATGCTCGACTATTTTATTAAATTAATGTAATATACTAATGTACAAGGTTTGTCCTTTATCGTCTACTTTTACTATTAACTTTTAATTTTGTTAATGGTATCCATGTTAAATTAAATAAATTGAGCAGTGTTGGCTTCAGCGTGCGACTCTCATCCCTGAGGTCGTAGGTTCGAAGCCCGGCTGTGCATCAATGGACTTTCTATCTGCGCATCTAACATTCACTAGAACGGTGAGAGGAAACCGGCTTGCCTTAGACCGAAAACATCGACGGCGTGTCAGGCACAGAGGCTGATCACCTACTTGCCTATTACATTGACAAATGATCATAAAACAGAGACAGAAATCTGAGGCCTACAAAGTTTGTAGCGCCACTGATTTATTTATCCATGTTAAATTAAATGTTAATTATTGCGCACAGAAATATCTTTGACACACGACGTTATGATAGTCTAATAATTTTACACACCACTAAGACATCTTTACCTTTGTCATATACTAGAACAGGAAATATGTCTATAACACGATCATTAAATATAAAAAAACTAGATTTCTTCGCTGTTTTGCGATGCTGTTTTCGTTAATTTTAGAGATATCTTAAGAGACAATTGAACAAAACAAAAACTGTGTTTATTTAACGTCATAATTTAAATTCTTTGTTTCGTAAATCGTAATCCTACAGCTAACATAAATTAATATAACAAAAAACAACAACTCACCTTAAAATATAATAACTAAAATATATTATTGAAAGGAGACCCTTTAGGCAAGGTTCCGAAAATACTGGCAGCGTTCCCCCTTTGAATAGCTAGACTAATTCTTTGTCCGAGGTATCTGCCAGCTCTTCAGTCTCCTGGGATGTCGACTAACCTGTTTGCTATTTCCTAAAAAACCTTATAGCGCTAGGACCCTATGGACCTAGGGTCTCGACACCGAATGGGACAGAATCTGTATTGCATGCTTTAGCTTTTTCAGCCGCACCAGCTCTGTTGTTGAAACGTTAAAAACGTTTATTGATGTTAATTTTAAGTACCAAGCGATATTTTGATAAATTCAGCTGTGACGTCACTCTCCAATTTTTTGTTACGTGATGTCATAAATGATGTCATCGCGAACTGGGTTGGTATTTTAGGGTTCGTCTGACTTAAACATATTATAATTACATACTTTACATTAGATTTATTTATTTTATATATTAATATTACTTCACTAAAATATCTTAGAAATAATTATAATTCTAAAGTAAAGTAAAAAAAATTAAGGTGTCTTAATCTGTGGTAATTTTCTAATTCACGCGTAAATAAGAAGATGAGCACAAGAGCATAAGACGAGCGGCAGCAGGCAGCGGGCTCCAACTCGCCTATAAATGTAATAAGGATCTTTCCAGAGGAGTCACCCGGACCCGGCGGGAGACACCAAGCCTTTAAAGCAAATAAAGCCTCCTTTGACACACCCTTGCTAACTATCTTCTGGGCCACAGCTCTACCAGATCGCGTGTAGGCGATGTAGGTATCCTATAAAAAGAATATCTATTTATATATAAAATTCTCGTGTCACAATGTTCGTTCCCATACTCCTCCGAAGCGGCTCGACCGATTCTTATGAATTTTATATGCATATTCAGTAAGTCTGAGAATCGACTACTATCTATCTTTCAAACCCCTTAGTGATAAGGGGTTTCTACCCCAAAAATTAATTTGTTATTTTTTATGATACAGCATACAAAAATACATACAACCACTAATTTTCACCCCTCTACGATCAACCCCTATTTTTTATTATTATAGATAGTTATTTTTATAGATCTAAAAAAAATATACATGGCAAAACAACGTTTGCCGGGTCAGCTAGTAAGATTATATTAATTCATTCATAATTTCTATAACTACTAAATTCTAAAAGATTTGTCGAGCCCTTGCATTCTTGGTATATGATATCTTATCAATGACATTTGTTATCTCACCTTATCAATCATATTGTTGGATGATACCTTTCAAAAGGTTTTCGTAATAATGTAAGTGTAATGTGCTTTTTTGTTAGCTTAGTTTATTAGTTGCTTAAACATAATAAATAATCTATTAGACAACTTAGATATATGCTTAGCGCTAAGTGTATGTCAAGACGAGAATGACAATTAATAGAATTTTTAAATTAATATAAGTCTCCTCCAATTTCGATTTTGTTCTCTTCGGAGTAGAGACTCTTGAGAGAGTCTCTCGAGAGTTGGCGCCTGGTAGATAGTACCGGATACCTTTCGGCTTTCCTCGCTCAACGAAAAAGTATCGCAATACAGCGAAATGGTGCCAGCGTTAAATTTACACTGCCTCAGGGACCAATCTTTATAATTTTCTATTTATTAATTATATTAATATTATTAAATTTCATTTGATTACTACGTGAGTTAAAAAAATATCACGAACAACAGTAATTTATCGGAAAACTAATTATTAATTCAAACATGGTATTTGAGTTACTATCATTCATGAATTCTCACGCAAGGCAAGGACAAATTTGTTAGTACAGTTTTCTTGCTAATTCATGAATCATTTGAAGTGATAAGGCATGGTTTGATTTGTTTAACCAATTAAATGAATGAGGGTGTTGTTATGATTGGCTATAGATAGTTAACAAGTTTAATAATAAAATGCCTGTCTTTATTTTTATTTTGTGTGTTAACTGTGGCTTACTCACGCCATAGATTTGAGTCTATAGTCTGCATTCAATCTGGTAAGCGCTGTCAAATATGTCAAAATATCACATGGTTTGACAGCCTTTTATTTAAGTTTGATGTTCTATAATATTAGACTAAGGCCTGTATTACAGAAGGTATCTCAAGTCAGAATCTCCGCTTGAGCTCCGTCAAAAATGTCGAAGTTATAATAGAAAAATGGCGGATTTAAGTTAGAGTGACATTCTAGAATTAAACGAGAGAGAGAAAATATTGTGAGGAAACCGGCTTGCCTTACACCCAAAAAGTCGTCAGCGTGTGTCAGGCACAGGAGGCTGATCACCCAATTGCCTATTAGATTGACAAATTATCATGAAACAGATTCTGATATCTGAGGCCTAGATCTAGATAGGTAGCGCCACTGATTTATTTATGTTTATATTACATTAAAATCTACTTTGAATTAAGCAAATTTAAGGTAATTTAAAAAGGATTTAATTTAGGAAAACAAAACAATATCATTAGTTAACGTTGTTATACCAATATTAATCGTAATCTTCAGGCTTATCCAGGCCATCCGAAAATAAACCTTAGAGCTCATAAAATAAGTTATAAATTAGCGATGTTTATAAATACTAGCCGATTTTAGTGTTATACCAGTGTTTCCGCGGATTTTATATCGAGTGGTTGTGTGCGTGCATCTTGTTCAGGTATTCTATTTTTAAAAATATTGTTTGAAATCATAGATTTTATTAATGGTATAAACATTGTTTGTGGTCGAATTTCAATCAAGGTCTGTGGTTAGACTGCGCTGGGTTGTCTCACGTGAAGTTCAGTTTTGTTTGGGGTTGATATTTGCTTTTAATAATTTCTGTACTCTGTATTCATAAAAAAGTTTTGACATATGAAAACTTTTTAAAGACTTAAATATTTCGAATTATTTTTTCATATAATCTTGTGTCTATATATGACTCTATCAGAAGAAAGTTCGTTTAGCTGAATCTATCAAACTTTGTTTGGATATATATAATAACTTATAAACCACGACACGTACTATCAGCAAAAAGTAATAAGAAATTGCGTTGAATTCTTTTTTTAAGCCATGTAACCTGAATATAATATTTTCTTTAGTAAACACTCCCAGAATGTATTTACTACTTAATTGCTGCTTCGACGGCAAGACTTTCAGAGATTGAGATAAAAAAAATCTACTTACTTTCTTCTTCATGATATATATGATATACTTCTATGATATAAAGTTTGGATTTATAGAAGAATTCATTCTAGAATTCTATTTATCATTTTTTAAATATTATTATTATCACTATGTAGGTTAAGAATAATGTAAATATTATATATTTGTGTGTTGGAAAGGATTTTGTGGATAAAATAAAAATTGCAAAAAATAATGTAGATTATTGTAGATGTAGTGAATTTTGACCTAGGGTAAGATCAAAGATCTGATCAGAGAAGATCAGAGTCAAGACTTAACGCTAAGTATGACTTTCGTATGTCAGCAATTTATTTGACAACCTCCCATACTTAGTACACTTAATTCCGTATTCTAGAAAACCAAATCGTATTTCTCGATATTCCTGAGATTATTTACAAGGGAAAGGACTATTTTAACGTATTTTTTTTGCGGACAGTCTCTTAAAATATGGAATACATCAATATACATAATGTAATAAATTATTGCTCATGAGAGATTCTTCTCGCTTCGTCGATTCGATTACCATTCATTAATTGACGTTAACATTGTTCGAATAGTGAGGTTACACGTAACTGAGATCACTTTTATTTTCCCTTTTGTTTGTAGCGAGCAGTGTTGGCCTAGTGGCTTCAGCGTGCGACTCTCATCCCTGAGGTCGTAGGTTCGATCCACGGCTGTGCACCAATGGACTTACTGTCAATGTGCTCATTTAACGTTCGCTCGAACGGTGAAGGAAAACAATAAACTACAAGCTCCCTCCTTATCAGAATGCCAAATCGTAAAATGACTGCTTCACGACTGATTTGAGCGCGACCGCCGCTGGGAAAACCGCTTAGCGAGTTCGAAAAGTGAGTTACAAAATCGCAAGGCAGATTATAGCATATGAGTAATTTGTAGCATAAGCATGAGTATAAAAGTTTTTCATAATATTTGTTTAAAACAAGATCTTGGTCATATGACTACAACTAATGTGAAAGGGTTTTATAGTTTTAACCGTGAAATTTATATTCTTGATGATGTCATGTAACGAATGTCAAGGAACTAAGTGAGACACACTTTGTTTTTGAGTAAAATTAACTTTAATCGCTTGGTGAATCGAGGTCTTATTTATTACAATATATTTTTTAAAGCTTTTATTAGTAAGCATAACAATCCAATGTAAAGTATTTACAATTTTCTTAACCTACATAGTAATAATAAAAATAATTAAAAATTAATATAAAACAAATTTAAAAAGTCTGGTCCCTGTGGCAGTGTACCTTTAACCTTGGCAGGATTTCTTGAATCCCACGACCCAAGAGTCTACTCCAAAGGGAACAAAATTGAAGTTGGACTTATGATAATTTTTGTATGGACTTTTGGAGGTTCTGGATAACTTTTACAGTTTTACTAGGAAATTGTTAACAAACCACAGTATGTAAACTTTCAAAACAAATAATGAAAGATTGAAATTCAAATTCCAAATCAATTTCCCCCTTAACAATCTTATTTCCCCCCTGTGGCGCGTGGGCCCTACGTTGGGAAACACGGCTGTATAATGACAGACCCCATAATACGCATATTTAATTCAGGGACTTACATCCCTACTATGCACTTAAAAATGTTGCGGGGGGTGGTAAGCAAGTCCAAGAACTTCTCTCGTTTCTTTCTACCTAGGGGATATGTGCGACGGCCTTGGTTGTTTGCGATATCAAGGGCCAGGAACCAGTCTGTTGCACAGATCTCCGTTAACAAAGACGTTGCGCTTACTAAATGCTGTCTCTGACGATATCGACATCTTTATATGTTCGCAGAAGGAGTTCACAGTAGCGATATTGTATTTAATAAAAAAATCGACATTATCGTATTGGCTTAGTATTGTAATGATAGTGTATGTATTTTTATGAATAAATATATAAATACTACGTTCAAGTTCATGGTAATTTATAAATTATAAGAACGTTATGGATACGCTAAGTCACGGTTATGATTTTAACTGTAAAGACAATGACCTCGAATCTGAACAATTGTTTTGCATGTTAGACGAGTTAACCGAGGATTTTTATATAATAATTAAATTGTGACATTTACATACCTACTAACCTATATTAGGTTATCTATAGGGCTATTCGTTATGATATTCATGATTAATTTCACATGTACTGATACATATAATTTATATATGTTACGCTTCATAAGGTTTCAAAAATTTCGAAAATATACAGAACATAAGTATGGAACATTGTATATTTTGCAGTGTTGGCCTAGTGGGTTAACAGTTTCTATCTGCGCATATAACATGAAGGAAAACATCGTGAGGATTGTAGTATTATACCCTAATATCGACGTGTCAGGCCAGGCTTCTAGCAAGAACATGCCGAAAAAACATATCTAAGGCCGAACAACAGTTATAAACAGAGAAAGAAAAAGATACCATATTCTCTTTGTAAATTATAAAATGTTTATTTTTAAGTTTACAAAAACACCGACCACACCATATCATGCACAACGCAATCCTATGTACATAATATCAGCAATCCAAAAACGCACTTTGCCCAATGCTTTTTCTGCTTCAGAAGACCTTTTATGTTTAACTGCGTTTTTAAAAACATTTTTTTACTATCGGTTCAAAACCTTATGTTATGAAACGGAAAGTATTCTTCTTGTGCAACAGTAGTTTAATTATAAAATTGTAAGTAATGTAGAATTTATTAAGACCAGTATCTAAAATAATTAATATGTCAAATACTCGTAGAAGAGACTTAGCCACGACACAGGGAATCGTATTGTGGAGGCTGCACTTTCTCTTTTAACTAAACATCCTTTTTTATTATGAGTATTTTTTCTTATATTTTAAGAACTTTGAAATGGCATAGGTATATTAAAGGAAGACATGAGCATGACCCATGGTACGTCATGCTGTGTATATTTTTATTTATTTATTAAACCACCACATCATATATAATGCTAAATCTACAGAATATGTTACGATATGTAAGCTATCTTTTCTAAAATATATGACAATTATGGTAAACATAAATGTTACAAAAAATTAAAAAAAAAACTTCATTACACTTCCAGTTATAGACTAGTAATTAGTAATAGTAATATTTACTAGTAATATTTTGCTTTATTTTTAAAAATTACTAATTTGGTAGATAGGCACTTAACAATGCTTATTTAAATTTGATCAGCCCACTACCGAATATGTCAAGCTCTGGATAAGTAGTGTTTGTTCGAGGTACCTACACTCCTAGGTTGGTTTTTGCAGACGGAATTTGGAAAATTCTGATGATCTTTATTAAGATATTTGACGTAAGGTTACAGAAGGTTTTTTAAGTAAAAGGACTTGTGCCTACCGCTCCGAATTAGTTCAAGAATAACTAAAACTGTAAAGTAACAAATTTTATCATAGCAATTACAGATAAGACATGTTTTGTATTTAAAGAAAACACTTTTTAACCGGATTAAAGTTATGTATTATTATAAATTTACAATTATTTAACACGACCACGTTACCACGCACGCTGTAAAGCACGCGAAACGTCGGTTAAATTTAAAATTATGTTAAATAATTGTAAATTTATAATAATACATAACTTTAATCCGGTTAAAAAGTGTTTTTATTAAATGTTTAAATCTTATGTCAATAAAAGACAATACTATGTTTTGTATTGTTAATACAATAATGTTGCATCGTTGACAATTGGCCATAACAGTGAAATATAAGATTTATTGCACTAATGCTGCTGTGTTTACAACCACCTAGGTAGCAACTCCTTATGTTTTTCTTCGTTATTCTTGTTGCGGATAAAAAAAGGCAGGCAGCCCATAGACACCCGTTTTAGTGGGTGTGTTGCCGGCTTTGTAAGAAGAAGTATGCTCTCTTTTAAACAAATGGAGGTCTTATATCCCAGGCAAAACCGGGAGTCGATTCCACAGTTCGCTACCTCGTAAAAGAAAGTCTAGTGAAGCAGTCAGTGGAAGACTTCCAGCCATCAGATGAATTGGAATTTTGAGTTAATACGGCTCGTACGGTGATAAGATAGTAGGGATCAACCCATACTCCTCAGTCCATAGTTTGCTTTGTAGAATACGTTAGACACGCAATGTAGAGACGCAGAGGCGTGGAGAGAAGAAATCAAGCTGATTTGTATCAAGTGTAGTACTTAATTATGCTCGGATATATAATTTTGATAAATGTAGCATTTTCAAGATTCACGACAATCTGTTTAGAATCTTAGCTTTTTAGAGTAGTAACTTGGTAAGTATTTTGTTCCATTTGGAGTAGAGACTCTTGGGTTCAAGTGCACAGGCGCTGATTAAAGATTTAAGTTGGCGCCTGGTACCGGCGACCCCAGGGCTAGTGTTTTCCTCGCTCAACGAAAAAGTATCGCATTACAGCTAGGAAATGCTGCCAGCTATCAAGATACACTATTACAGAGACCATTTTAAATTTGTTTTATTTTCTATTGATCAATTGTTCATTATTATTAAGAACTAAAATTTGTAGCTATATTTTCTTTTTCTTCTCTATTTTAGAAGTTTAGTATTTTAATTATTATTTGTTAAATTTATCGATATTGTCATGTATTTCAGAATAGATAGGTTGTAACTTATGTCTAAAATGTAAATATATGTTGTGTACTTTAATAAATAAATTGAAGAATAGTGCGTTCAACGAATAAACTTCATATAAATTGGTATTATAGTTACAGTATAAAATCCTGTTCATAATATTTGCAAAAGAAAAAGGTAAACATAAATCAGTGGCGCTACAACCTTTTTAGTTCTGGGCCTCAGATTTCTGTATTTATTTCATGGTCTATCTATCTAATAGAATATCTATCTAAGTAGCTGATCAGCCTCCTATGCCTGACACACGCCGTCTACTTTTTGGGTCTAAGGCAAGCCCGTTACCTCACGATGTTATCCTTCACCGTTCGAGCGAATGTTAAATGCGCACATAAAAAGAAAGTACATTGTTACACGGCGGGGTATCGAACCAACGACCTCAGGGATGAGAGTCGCACGCTGAAGCCAACTGACCAACTCTCGGACCTCCAAGATGTGTTGGAATTTTCTGCGTCAGAATTAAACCACGGTTCTCCGTTATAAAAAGTTCTAAAATTTAAAATTACACGTGATTTAAAATGTCTTAATAATACATACACAATTAGGAATTACATCACCATCTGACTCAGTGACCCATTGTGACCTCACTGTATGTTAATGTTTGATAAAACTGTTCGGAATTTAATTGAGCTAAAAAACTTGTTGGTCCAAAGTTTTAGCCTTGTAAAGTTTATTATGTTTACGTGTTTACCTGTGGTTATTTTTAACACACATAGGAAGTTTTTTTTCGAGGGCGAAGTGCGTGTTTCTTGACTTTGACATCGACTTATTTTTTTAATCTAAGCGTACGACCAGGCTCCAGAAGATAAACCACTCCTTGTATGGACATTGTATTCGTTTTTACAAGCGAAATTAGAGAATTATAACTGAATAAATTCAAAATTAAACGTAAATTAATCAATAAACCTTTTTATAAATTTGACGATTATTTAAATGATCCTAATCCTTGGGATTGATTTGCTCCAGTTGAAATATTGATGGCTGCTCTGCCATACACACATTTTTTATTAACTTGGCGACGAAGAGTGGCGGAGAGTTTCTTGCCAGTTCTTCTTGCCCGCTCTACGCCCTTGCCTTGCGAACTGTTAGTAAATGTAGATTTAGAATAAATTTAATATATTTTCTGTTGACGTTCATAAGCGTCTTAGTAGTTACCTATTTGAATAAAGTTATTTTGAGTTTCAGTTTAAAAAGACATATAAATAAAACTATAGACAAACAAAAATATACCACAACAATTTAATTTGTTAATATATTAATTTCTTGTCTTTGCAGATCATGCAGTGATAAAAAACCTCGGAAACTACAGATACGAACGAACGATATAATCTATGTTACGTTCAGAAATGCATAGATTATAGAGAAACACCGTAATGCAGTTTTAGAACGCACAGAGTGAGAAACGAGCGAGACAGACAGCTGAGTTCGAAAATAGAACGGTCAAAAATAGAGAAAAAATGTCTGGCTCCAAGTCAGTATCGGGTGGTCATTCGGCGGATCATCACGCCGCGTGGTGGGAGGCACCATGGAAAACTATGGCTGACCTTGCAGAAGCGGTAGACGATCTCATATGTAGTTTCGACTATATGGACACAGCCATGGATAACCTAGTGATGCTTATATTCATATGGATTCTATTCTCAATAGTGTTACTTGGTATCGCGAAGTGGGCTTACGGAAAGTATGGAAAGAAAACTGAGGAAAAGGTGGAAAGAAAGATAAACGATGAACCGAAAAAGACAGCGAACGAAATCATCACTAGCGCAGATAGTGTGCTAGCGACTAGTGCTAAGATAAAGAGTGGTGCGTTCAAACCCAGCAAGCCATCGAGCTTTGTTCCAGCAACTCCGCCGGCGGTCAAGAAGCGAATGGGCCGCATGTCCCCGGGGCCAGAACAACTGTCAATGAGGAAGCATCAGAGCATCATAGTACCGACTTGTACGGGCCCAGATGCGCCGAGCGTTCAATGGGTGAATGAATTATTGACGTGGTTATATAATGATTTGGTTATTGTGAATGAACTTGTGCAGCAATGGATTGTATCCATGAACGAGTTCTCCAAGAAGTCGGTGGAAGAGGTGAGTTACTCTTGTTTTTCAGCGTTGCGTTAACTTTCGTGGTAGGTATTTTCACGTGTAGACTCATGAGGGCTTGTTATTTCTTTGAGAGTATAAACACGAACAGTTAAAGCAGTGTTGGCCTAGTGGTGTCAACGACTTCCTTGAGGTCGTAGGTTCGAGCCCCTGCTGTGCACCTATGGATTTTCAGTCTATGTGCGCATTTAACATTTGCTCGAAGGGTGAAGGAAAACATCATGAGGAAACCGACATGTCTTAGACCAAAAAAGTCGACGGCGTGTGTCAAGCACAGAATTGAACCTAATTGCCTATTAAATTGACAAGTGATCATGAAACAGATACAGAAATCTGAGGCTTGGACCTAAAAACGTTGTACTGGTTTGTTTTTTGACTTGAGCGTGGCAAAAACTGTTGTAGGTTCGAGGTTTACTAAAAATATTTTTATTTGGGAAACTAACTAATTGGGCAACAAGAAGCTTTCCACAATAAGTTAATTAACATGAAAACGGAAGTATATAAAATATATTTACAATATAAAAGTTTGCTTAAGAAAACTATCTCGCAATCTAATAAATAGGGCAGAAACACCATATGACTTCAATCAAGTTGAACGAAAATATTCTTTAAACTCATCGTATAAGAACTAATTTAATTATCTTAATGGATATTGAGCATTTGGGTCAAGTATTATGGGGATCGGCTGTATCTTGAATAAAGTCTATTCCTTAACCCAGATGACATATACCTAGCCTATATAGTAAATAGTTCAGATTTCATTCGCATCACCTTGTGTCTTCCACGGTCCGCTTCATTGGGTATTCATTCAACTGTGAAATTGATTCCCGGTCGAGGTCTTCCCTGGAAGATACGACCTCCAATTGTTTAAAAAGAGACCTCACTCCACCTCACCCCAACACACTCTCTCAAACACCCCCTTTTGGGCGTCCCGTTTGAAAGAAAAGTATGGAAATCGGCCCAATTTATAGTTTCTGTAAGAGAAACGGAAAATATTCAATCTGTTCTACACATTGCATATTTATTGTTAATGTTTACAAATAATATTTCTGTTAAGTTTTAAATAAAAAAAATATTGTATAATTTTATAATTGCTTATAAATATAAGCAATTATTATACTTAGGGTATGGTGATTTAATTTTTAGAGGCAAGTCAATAAGTATTGACATCATGATAATTTAACCGACATACTAAAAATACATTATTTTTATTATTACTATGTAGGTTAAGAAAATTGTGAATACTGTATATATGTATGTATGTATATATTTAATTGTTATGATAACTAATAAACAATATTAATATGACATTTGCATGCTTATTTTTATATGGCTGATTGTGTGGTTTTATAAATGATTTATTATTTATACATCTTCGCGATTCTTTAAACTATTGGGAATTTTTTACATGTTTCACGCGTAATGCAATTAACTATATATCTGTTCTTTTCAACACAACTTTAACAATATTTCAAAGACAGAGACGAAAGAGTTTTATGAAGAGACCAAATTCTTTTTTTTTCGTATACCACAGACCACGTTAAGTTCCCAGAAATTCATCAAATAAACATACGATTATATCCGACCAAAACAATGGCTAGTAACAAACGAATTGGCAACAATACAAATACTTCCTGTATTATAGTAGATACAAGAATTTTCTTAATTGCTTATATATATATCTTCCTAACAATCGACATTAAAGGAAAAAATTAGAAATTTTTACTGAAAATTAAATCTCCCTTTACTGAAACTTAAAAACACCAAATATGATCGTGATACTTGTAATATTTTAGTTATTTCTTCCATGCAACATATCCAGAATAATCTGTTACATCGTTTAATGCCGTATTACAAAGTTTCGTCATATTTAGCGGTTTGGGTGTGGAATCGAATCAAACATTTATTTACGCTTTCACGATTATAACTTAGCGTTGTGGCTACACTAGTAACTTCAATTGTATTTTCCCTATAAAACTTACATACATCAAAATGTTATTGAATCTATAAAATAAGTTCTGTAGAATTCTTTTTATTTTGGTCAGTAACATTGATTCTTAAGATTCAGTTAACAAAATTTCGTTTGACAAGAAGAGTATTTTCATAAACAAAATAATCCTTTATTTCTGTAATCAGCTTGTCTCTGGAAAACTCCTTCTTCAACATTGACGAGGTAGAGAGTTGATCTGCCCTTCGCTATTGTGTTCTACACCGGCTACCGTTATGTCGTCCTACCAACGCCTCACCTGCCTTCCCTGGCTTCTCTGGCTTCTCTTTCCATCCTTAGATTACCATTATAATTTTTGGTACGAAATAACTTCAAGAAGAATACTTTGCGTTTCATAAATGTATAAAGTTTGTTGGTGTACTTGTTTTTAAGAAAGTGGTTAAAGATGAAAGGGCCTGAATATGTGAGCACCATGTATATATATACATAATATTAATAATTTAGATATCTGCTGCATTGTTTTTTATAACGCCTATTTTATGTTAGTAAAGTAGTTTTTTTTATCTAGACCTACATGGTCTTCACATATAACAAACCAATGTATACAAAATATTGTACAAACTATTTTCAAAGAGAAAGGAGTTTCATGCCCATTCTTTTCCAGATGAAACTACCTTTTGGAAGGGGCAACTAGGGTCATTTTTTATAGCTTTAACTTGTATTTTTGACTTTCAAAAGTACCTTTTTAATAGGCCTAATTGAAATAAAAATAAGAATTTCTCAAAAAGAGAAAAAGCGTTGGGCGACGAAAGTACTTTTTGGTTAGCTTATCTGTAGGTTGCGTTTTGTATGATGTGAAATCATAAAACATATTATATATAAACTTATTGAACACAGCACATTATGTGAGAAAAAGAATATAAATAATAATAAGGTCTACCTTGTTTTACATACATGTATAAAGAAAAAGACAAATTTTATAATCAAACGACCGGAAATCGAAATATTTTTTTGTATGTAAATGTTTTAGAATTTCTTTATCATACAATACTGTCTGAAAGAGATTGCTTATTAACACGTTGCACTAATTAAGTGAGGGCCAGAGGTGAATACCAACATATATTTAAATTAATTAATTACTACTACAATACTTGAAACTTAATTAAATATGAAAATTTAATCGGCCCGATACAAGGTGCTCAATCAATAAACCATACAATAGACTACAACTAATTTGAGGATTTGACTGGTCCGTTATGATATGGTATCCGATCAAAGCTGTTGGTGTATGTTGTTCGCTTCCTTTTATAATGGTGTTGCGTCAGAGGGGTACAGGTATGGCATACCCGGGGCAAAGGGAGTGCAATGGATATGTAAACCTATTTTAAAAGAGTAAGTGTGGAGTTTCATGCCCATTCTTCTCCTCACGAAACTACCTTTTGGAAGAGGCAACTAGAATCTTCTTTGTATTTTATTTGACGTTCAAAAGTGCCATTTTAGGTGGTCTAATTGAAATAAATGATTTGACTTTGACTTTGACACACTATATAATATTGTTATTTTTGTTTTTACGTGCAGAGTGAATAAATACAAATCAAAAGTACATAGTATTTTCTGGATAAAACGAATATCATGATCAACTGATCTTAATTTCTTCTTCACCAAGATACATCATGAGTGATGCGTTATAAATAGACCAATGACACGACTTCGACAACGGATGACGGAGCGTGACGTCATAGCTTATGTCACTGTCATGTCATTTTAATTTAAAAACTGTTAACTAACAAAACACTCGATTAATATCAATTATATCCTATAAAGTTTTATTAAATGTATAGTATTTACGGTAAGTGGCGTTACAGCCTCAGATTTCTGTATCTATTTCATGATCATTTGTCCATCTAATAGGCAAGTAGGTGATCAGCTTTCTGTGCCTGATACGCCGTCGATTTTTGGGTCTAAGGCATGTCAAACCTATGACCTCGGGGATTCGCGTCGCTCTCACTGAAGCAACTTGGCCTTTACTCGATAATATTTACGTAAACCAAACAATTTTACGTCATTTGTAGAGTGTGGAATGTGTCCATAATCTATACAAGACGTAGATTCCAGCTTCTACAGATTTCTCTCACAACCATAAAAATAATAATAAATATGTATATTCATTAAACTATACGCTACCTTTGAGAACTTGATTTTCTATTAAGATATAAAAATACTTTCCTTGTCAAAGTAGACATCGTGTTGAAAGATGTCTGCTTAAATTCTCCGACAAATTTTAGTTACTAAAATTACCACCACAGTTTCAAAACGGTAAATTAATTTAAAATTGTTGTTATTTTAAATTATTTTATTATTGTTACTATACTAAGAATAGTTTTTTTTAAGTTAGGAATATTGTAAATACTGGAGGTATATTTGTGTGTTGGATATAAATATTTATCTATATAAAAAAAATTATATAACTGTCACATTTCGTGGTCGTTAGTGGTAAGCATGGTCAAATGTTGACTGTGAAATTAAATGTGATACTCGTACACGAGGCAGACAGGCATACATTTGATTTTATATACACAACTTGTTTCTTGTTAAACATTGTTTACATGGATGATATAATTGTTTACATTGTTAACAGGACAGGTTGAAATGCACATAATGTGCTGTGTTCAATAAGTTTATATATAATATGTTTTATGATTTCACATCATACAAAACGCAACCTACAGATAAGCTAACCAAAAAGTACTTTCGTCGCCCAACGCTTTTTCTCTTTTTGAGAAATTCTTATTTTTATTTCAATTAGGCCTATTAAAAAGGTACTTTTGAAAGTCAAAAATACAAGTTAAAGCTATAAAAAATGACCCTAGTTGCCCCTTCCAAAAGGTAGTTTCATCTGGAAAAGAATGGGCATGAAACTCCTTACTCTTTGAAAATAGTTTGTACAATATTTTGTATACATTGGTTTGTTATATGTGAAGACCATGTAGGTCTAGATAAAAAAAACTACTTTACTAACATAAAATAGGCGTTATAAAAAACAATGCAGCAGATATCTAAATTATTAATA